ATCATCCCACGAGATGTCTAGGGCCTTCAGGTCATCTCTCATTGCGGCTCTCCAGGTTTTTTTTTGGTCTACCCCTTTTACCCAAGCACGTTTTGGTTGACGATACCCTCAGTTCAGAAAGGGGGAATCGTGGATCTTATTTCTTCCCCTAAGTTCATATGTCTAATGCGCAATACAGCTTCATTATAAAAAAGAACAGTAATAAACAAACGAATGAATACAGCTAGCCCAGAATAAAAATTCAGTAGCAAGTCCAGAGACTCCTCATCGGTGATTGACAGGTTACCCCAACCATGAGTAATGGTAGAATTCCACTGTCGCGTATTTTTTTAAATTTTACTCGCGTAAATAAAATAGAAGCAATGTATAAATGGCCGCGCGTAAAAGTAAAAGTTGAACGAGGTTCAACTTTAACGTGTACGCGTGGCCTTTCATACATTGCCTCTTTACGCAGTTTGATTTCCACTGACGCTTTTTTTGCTACGCACGTTAACGCACGTAAATTTTAATCACGTAAATAAAATAGAGGCAAGATAAAAGCCGGAGTGCTGAGCTTAAACGAGAAGTTGAGCGAGGTTCAACTTTTACGCTTACGAGCGACCTTTCATGCATTGCCTCCATTTTATTTGCGAACGTAAATTTTATGCACGTACGCACGAAAAAATTACGCGACACTGGAAATCAACCCTAAGACTTGAGACTGGAGGTCTCCAAAGCTACGAGCAAACGGATGCAATAACTCCCAACAGTGTTGGGACCTGCAGTGCATTATGGGAAGGATACAACCCATGAGAACATGTGTAATGCGCGTGCGTGGCCTTAATAACGTTCAGGAACAACTGTACAAACGAATCCAACATTTTCCCGCTACGCTTCGGCGATCACGGAACAAAAGAAATGTTGCGGGTTGTTGGCCAACAATGTTGCGTGTCTTTTTTCACGGGGCTTAAAATTGCGCTACATTTAAAACATCAGCAATCCTTTTATAGTATTCAGAAAAAGTAACAAATGACTAATTTGTTTTCTTTATTAGGATGATAAAATGTAAACCAGAGGAAAGGATAACGTCTTCTAATGCTCTGCAACATCTGTTTCTAGAGCCGTCTGCTGAGTTGCTTATTCCTAGTTTAGATCGTTTGTTTCTAGCACCATGCACAGGAGACCTCAGGACATTAAAGCAGCCGTTAAAATTTTCAAACAAGCACAACGTTTTGAAGCTGCTGGTGTTAACGAAATAGAAATTCTAGAGTACTTGCGTCGTAGAGGAGAATTAACCAAGTGCAAGTGTCGCCATATAGGTGAGATTACTAATGAAGATGGTGAAAATGTCTTGTGTTTTGCAAAATTTGCATTAGTTCCCCTTTTCTCTTAATTTTCTCGGCTGATTCGGGGTGGGGTTGGGGATGGGTTGGCATGGGGGGTCTGCAGGACGGTCAAGGGAAGGGATAATAGATGACGTCATAATGCACGAAATATGACATCATCTGTGCAAAAAAACATTCGAAAAAGATGTTGTTGGAATTGTAACATTTGTGCCTGATTGGTTTACTTTCCACCAATCACAATATTACTTTTATTATAATGGCATACTGGGGTTTCTGAGGAAATGTTTGATGTTAAACGTTAAATAGCTCAAACAACGCAAAGTATTTGAAATTTCATTGACAGAAAGTTGCATCTACAAGAAATTGCAAACTTCGGCAATTATCCGGGAGACTTCAGACTCTAATCTGGAGACCGGGAGAAACTGTTCAAAATCGGGAGTCTCCTGGATTATGCGGGAGAGTTAACAGCACTGGGTCTGGGGGGAGAGGGAGAAGAAATGCTTGCTTTCATGTCTGAGGAATTTAAATTTCTGCATCTAAAAAGTCATTGCAAAATGCTGATCGGTGTTGATTACATTTGGCATCATGGCTACAAGGTAGAAATGCATAGAGTAAACAGAGATTCCATTTGCGAAGGCTGCAAAGAAGTTTTGGGATTTTTGGTAATGTATGCTTTAATAGACCATTTTACAGTTATGGGCGTAGTATCCTAGCCTTTGAGGAATGTGAGGCTGAGGTTGACCTTGCTTTGACACAAACCTCTTTTCTTTTCTGATGGAAATTATACTTAAAAAATACTACTCGGCATAAGAACAACATGATTTACATAATAAAGCAGGAAGGGTTGTATCAAAACAAGGTCAACTCCAGCCTCGTTTTCACCTGTAACTGTCAAATGGGCTATTTGAGACCCAAAGAAACTTAACTGCCATTGTTTAAGTCTAAGATACCTCAGCTTCTACACTGCTAGATGATAAACTGCTTCTCTTAATCAGTTACAATATATTTACCTTATACACAGGACTGTCACCAAGATTTCAAGGTGGCAGCTGTGTGCAGTAAATAGTTGTTGAGAAATTGAACAGATAAGAATTTCTCTGGCTCTATTTTCTACTTTTTTTCTTACAAAAGTAGCTCGAGGTTGTGTGAGTTGTAGCCACGGGGGAAAATCCTCAGCCATCAGTCCTTCTTGACAACCCTGATCATACGCATTTATTGAATTCTGTCCCACTGCCATTTGTCATGCTCCAAGTGAGTCTAACGCACATGGATAAAACTGCAATGACTCATACCAGCCCATGTTTGTGGACCATGCCTGCCTGTGGGGGAAGAATTTGATCTGTTATAATCTTAACTGACACATTTGCAAAAATATATTATAAAGCAAAGTCAAGTCAAGCCTTGGTGACCCAGTTTAAAATTTGGAAAATAAAACACTAATAAAAGATAAGTTGGAGGTTGGAATGTGCTTGGAAATCTTTCAGATGTCTTCATGCAGTTATGATCAGGTCTTTTACAAAAAATCTTGGCACTTACCCTCATGATAAAAAGCTTGTCCCTATAACTAAAAAATGAGTTGGCATGTATAAGATCACAATGGATGAATTTTTGTTCAGATGAAAACTCATGCACTTAGGTGTCAAGTTCATGTGGAACCACCCTAACCAAATTAAGATCCTAGATGCCCAACTGTTCAAAAATTTGAATGCCAAAATCAAGGTCAAATTTTAAGCTGGTACAATTGAAATTTGACTGGTACGGTGTGAACCCTATTACTGTCAAATTTTTTGTCCTTTAAGGGCATGGTTGCATGGATGCATGGTAACTCAGCTGGGAGTCACTATTTGTGATTTGCTAAAGTACGGTAGCAATAGGGCCATCTATACGAGGAAAAATAAGACGCGTCTTACATAAGATGTGAACTGTACGATTTATACGAGCATGTCTTATCTAAGACGAGAACAGCTCGTATAAATGGTTCACGTCTTATTTCTGTTCTTGACTTGTTTTCATGTGAATGTTGCCCATAGCAACGGCAATCCAACATGGCCCACCAAAAATTAATGCATGTGTACTATGCGTTCGCGTCTTATGTAAGATGCGAAGGTCATTAATTTTATACGAAGTTTTTCTCGAATTAGCTAAGACGTGTCTTATCTAAGAACAGGTGTTAAGGGCTGTTCTAAAATAAGACGCGCCTTAGCTAAGTCGCGTCTTATTTTAGACGAAATGTGCCGTTTATACGGAAAGTTTGCGTCTTATTTAAGGCGCGTCCTATGTAAGATGCGTCTTATTTTTCCTCGTATAAATGGCCCTAATCTGTGCATGGCCAGATGTTGTTGTCAATTCATCTTTGTTATTGTAATTTTTTTATTTTTCTCTACTTTTCAGCATGGTTGATAGATTACTTCTCATACAAAGGTGTGATGCACTTGGTATTTGACAGGCTTGATTGCAACCTTCATCACATCTTACTGAAGAACTCAAACAAAGGTCTTCCTCTTTACATTGTCAAGGAATGTGCAAGGCATATTTTAGAAGCCCTGAGATTTTTAGCTGCAAATATGGTTGTTCATGGTGATGTCAAGATGTCCAATATTATGTGGAATGCAAACAGAGGACTTTTTCAACTTGTAGACTTTGCTCTGAGCTTTGTAAAGGAAAATCAAGTAAGATAGATTACTTAGTATCATCTTTTCAAATTTAGGGGTTTATATCATTTTAATATCAGTAATATACTTCATAAAAGTTGTTTCTAAAAAGATTATTGTTATAGCTGTTATATTATTATTATTATTATTATTATTATTATTATTATTATTATTATTAAAAGTATGAGTAATTATAAGTTTAAATTATGCTGTTAACTGTCGCTTATAAGCCCTTGGCTTGTAGATCTTTGTTTGGGTTTTTAGGAGGGGCTTATATGTAAGGGGGATTATAACCAATGTCCAATCTCTAATGTTCATCAAGAGTCAACTAAACAGAGTAAGGAAATGCAGGGACCAAATCTAGGTGTTGGTTTTAGCGAGGTGTCTGTCTTATAGAGGTGTCCGTTCAGAGAGAGTTGAATGTGTATTTTTTGATCTCGAATGCAATTAAAAAAATAAGCAAAATATAAATAAAGCAACATATGATAATGATGTTAAGTGGAAGCACATCTATAAAATGGTCCGTTGTCTACCATTCTGGACTGAATTGGAATTTGCGATTTGTCATATTCCCAGTTGAACAAGTTTTTGAAAGACCTTATCCACACATGCCATCATGTTAGACCTTCAAAGTTTTCAGAGGTAATTAACACTCAATACAGAATCCATGAGGCATCAGTAATGAGTTTTTTTGTTTGAAAAAAATTATACAGCAGTAATGTTTATATCAGAAAATAAGCTGCAAATTTCAATCTTTAGCCTTACCAGCCACTTCAGAGTGCTGGTTGTCAGAGCCCTGAGGCTGGAATGTGGAATAGAATGGTTATTGAAGGCACTGCTGACAGAAGCAATTCAGTGAGTATATGCTTACATTTATTCAAAACAGTTTGAAATCATAATATGAATATGGCACTGTCTAATCAGGAGGAACATATATGAACAAAAGAAAACCCATTTAAACCCTTTTATAGTGAATGGCTTGACGTCACTTATGAGTGATTAACACATTTACCCCAAAGAATTTTGCTGGAAAACATGCTTTGAAGTTATTCAAGCCATTTTCTGGTCACTGTCTGTCTTTAAAGAGCTAGAACTTACCACAAAGCCATTTAAAACCTAGTGGCCTTCTGATCCAGATTCAAAATATTAGCTTGCGAAGTTTAGGCTTCATTTTGGTGGAAAAAGCTTTTGGGAAATCTTAATAGGATCTTAGGATTAGATGAATGGAAAGGTAGGTGGGTAGTGGTTGGCCTCCTTTACTGAATCGTGCTCATTCTGGTATGGTTTGAAAGATCTCTGCCCCCTGCACAAGTTAGCTGACAAAGTTGTCCTTGACTCTTAAAACTGATGAAGTCACAGGCTGTAGGAGAGACATGGATCCCCATGCACACAATGAGGTTATGGACGGTTCAGGGGTGAATGGGTCAAACAGTATTTTAGAATTTGATAATTTTCAAGAATTTTAAATTATATGGTTGTTTATCACTAACAGTAGCCGTGTGCCATTGCACTGCGTTTCATTTTTGCTAGGGATGCTGCTGTGCCAGTGATATGTGGAGTTTCGCCTTTGTGCTGTGGTACATGTACACAGGGACCCCAGCATGCAGATATGAAACAGACAACCCAGTCTGTGACAACTGTTTAAAGGCAGAGGTACATTGAAACCATTCCCCTTTCAGCAGTTTTTTTTTTACTTTCTTTGTTTAGACAAGGAAAAACAAAATTTGCAGTACTGAATAGGTATTTTATCTGCATGAATGATTACACCAAAAGATTTTGGGCACAGCCTCAAAAAACACTTCATACCAAACATATAGTACCATGTGCAAGAACTACTGAAACGTTTTCATTTAATTTGTCACACCATCAGAGACTCAATTTAGGTTTCTGAGAAACTGCCCACCTACCCCTCCCTAACCCAACATTTTGCTCAAAGTAAGTAAGAAGTAAGTGTTAATGTTAGCCTAGGAGAGGGGTAGGTGGGCAGTTTCCCATTAACCTAAATTGGTCCATTAGAACTACTTGAGGGGAGTGAATTTTTTTTTTCTTAAGAGGTTAATGGTAAGAGCACTGCACTGATTCCTTAGAGGTCATGTGTTCAAATCCCGTTCAAGGCAGAAATTTTTCAGGCTTTCTTTTCACAGCGGCTTAATTTGCATACACTTTTAGTCTTAAACTTAAAATGATAAAAAATTTGCTCAGAGGGCGATGTTAGAAGATTACTGCGACCTGATTGGCTCACTTTTGTTTTGTTTCTCTGATGTAGGAAATTCTTTGCCTTCATTTGAAACAAATTAATACTCAAATACCGAATGATGGAAGGAAGATCACGGCTGAACATCATGAGTTATTTCATGATTTAATCATGAAGTGAGTAAGTATCATATTAAAATATATTATAAAGACAAACTGAAGTTCTTAAAAGTCCACCTGCTGGTAGTCCTAGTCAAAACAAAGAATATTATTTTCTAACTTTTTTATGAACTGAGAAACCTCCCTCTTGCAAGTCCGTATTGTGTACTGTTTGCATGAAACTGTTTGTTTTTTGCTGTTTGTATAAAACCTGTAAATTACTACTATTATTTGTATGACAGTTGTACTTGCAGTAACAGATTATATTTCCATTTACGTTTTCATACCTCCTCCTGAAAGGACAGCAAGTCTTCTCCACTCTATCCAGTCATTTGTCAGCATTATTAAAAAATAAATACATCATCCCACGAGATGTCTAGGGCCTTCAGGTCATCTCTCATTGCGGCTCTCCAGGTTTTTTTTTGGTCTACCCCTTTTACCCAAGCACGTTTTGGTTGACGATACCCTCAGTTCAGAAAGGGGGAATCGTTGATCTTATTTTTTCCCCTAAGTTCACATGTCTAATGCGCAATACAGCTTCATTAGAAAAAAGAACAGTAATAAACAAACGAATGAATACAGCTAGCCCAGAATAAAAATTCAGTGGGCAAGTCCAGAGACTCCTCATCGGTGATTGACAGGTTACCCCAACCATGAGTAATGGTAGAATTCCACTGTCGCGTATTTTTTTAAATTTTACGCGCGTAAATAAAATAGAAGCAATGTATAAATGGCCGCGCGTAAAAGTAAAGTTGAACGAGGTTCAACTTAAACGTTTATGCTTGGCCTTTCATACATTGCCTCTATTTTATTTACTCACGTAAAAAATACGCGGAAGTGGAATTCCACCCCAAGTCTCACGGAGGTCTCCAAAGCTACGAGCAAACCGATGCATTAACTCCCAACATTGTTGGGAGTTGTTGCGTCCGTGTTGGCAGTGATGTGTAAACGGATGCAACAACTCTCAAAACTGTTGGGACCTGCAGTGCATTGTGGGAAGGATACGACCCATAAGACTTTGGAGGCCATGTGTAATGCGCGTGCGTGGCCCCAACAATGTTCAGCTAGGAAGAACTGTACAAACGGATCCAACATTTTTCTGCTGCGCTTCGGCGATCACGGAACAAAAGAAATGTTGCGAGTTGTTGGCCAACAATGTTGCGTCTGTTTTCACGGGGCTTAAAAATTGCGCTACATTTAAAACATCAGCAAGCCTCTTATGGTATTCAGAGAAAGTAACAAATGACTAATTTGTTTTCTTTATTAGGATGATAAAATGTAAACCAGAGGAAAGGATAACGTCTTCTAATGCTCTGCAACATCTGTTTCTAGAGCCGTCTGCTGAGTTGCTTATTCCTAGTTTGGCAGATATGATGCTACTTCCGACCACCACCCTGCTAATGGACAACGTCTATTTACAACATGGTGAAGATCTTTTTTTTTTCTCATACAGTTAAACCCTGTTAATAGGAACACTGAGCAAAATGTTGGCTTAAGGGAGGCATAGGTGGGCAGTTTCCCAGAAACGTATAATCATGATCCGAAGTACGCTTCTGGGAAACTGCCCACATACCCCTCCCCTAAGCCAACATTAACGCTTACTTCTCACATAGGGCAAAATGTTGGCGTAGGGGAGGGGTAGGTGCAGGGCAGTTTCCCAGAAACGTATAATAATCCATATTTTCTCTAAATCAAACCCGCTTAATACGGACACCCATCAGTAGAAACACTTTCTATGACCCCCTCAGTGTCCTTATTAACATGGTTTGCCTGTATTTGTTAGCTTGCGAAAGTGGCGTCATCAGAATAGGTTTATAGTGCCTTTCGGTGGCGGAGTCTCTTGCAAAGCAACGAGGGAATTGAATTTGTTTCGTCGTCCACATTCCTTCAGTCAGTGCAAGTTTTTTCTTTTTGTTTTTTTGACCAGTTTTGCCGCTCAGAGAAGATATGGTTGTTTTGTATTTAAAAAAAGGTTAATTTTTTTCTAATCAAGCACGGGAAACTTGCTTTCGAAAATATCACTGTCTGGCAGTTACTCAGAAAACTTTCAAATGTAAAACCCCCTCTCTTAACACTAACATTAATCGCCTTAATCTATTACGTCTTACTTTTTGTATAGCGGACTCTCTGAAGGACGTTGAGGAAATGTGTGCAAGGTTTGGTGTTATTCGACAAGTCACAAGAGGTTCGGATGGAAAGGTAATTATGAATAAAATAAGACAAACAACCTCTGAAGATTTATAACATAGCGAGTTGCAAATGTCCGAAACAAATAGTTTGAGTTGAACGTAAGCGACAGTTTAATAGCCCCATCTGGCAGGAAGTGGAAGTTTTCAGGTCGGTGTAATTCTTCATACGCTATTCGAAGAAATGTTTTACCCAAATTTATAGAGCTTTGTATGGACAGGGGCGCCAACGTGATGGCTGGAAACCACTTGCCATCTGTCTGTTACCGAGTTTTCCTTCGAAAGCGTGAATTCATCCCTCGGCGAATTCATAAACATAAAAATAATGTTTTTCCTATTACAAGGACTGTTCAGACTGTTCAGATAGTTCTTTATTTTTTAATATTCTGTTGACGTCATGCGAAAACCAGGAACTCACCATTTTCACATAAACCATAACGCACCTTTTTACCTCCCAAAAATTTTCATCACCATTGTTTTCGACTTCTCTTGGGACGACTGTAATACCTAGGAGAAACTGAAAACCACGATTGTGTAAAATTTTTGGGTCAAACAAGGTGCATTACGGTATATGATAAATAACCAATAAAACAAGCGATCGAGTCTTCAAAACAGTCTCTTGGTGCTATTGGACGCGCAACCACAGAATAGCCAATAGGCTAAAATTAGGTCTGTTCGTCCTCAGGTATTGATCCAATACTTTGACGCAGATGAATGCTCGCGGGCTCATAGTGCTCTTACTGGGTGGATATACAATGACAGAACAGTCATTACGTGCTTTTATCTTTCTGGAAAATCTAGCATTCACGAGATTTTTACACCGGTTGAGCCCACACAGCAGAAAATCCATGACAACGGACGTCCCAATACCCTTGGGAAAAGAAGTGTTGATTCAGAAAGTGAGTCTTCTGAGAAAGATAATGTCAAATGTATGAAAAATAGTAACGAAAATCTTGATATTGACCTGAAAGTAAAAACTTCTTTTTGAGAATCATTTCTTTTATTTGGTATCAATTGTACTTAGCACTTGGGTCTCACAATTCCTGCTTGAATTACTGAGTTAGGAGTAACGAGCAGTGAATATGTTCCGCTCTCGCTGATCGCAGAACTTTATCTCTCGTTAAGTGGAACCCCGCCATATGGCCACCTTGTTATGATGGTCACTTGGAATTGGCCATATATTTTTAACCTGGGGTGTGACTACCATATAACATGGGGGGCCTTGAACTTTTAGCCTGCGTCGCAGTCGGATCGGAGACATAATCTAAGCCCGGTTGGTAACAGATGGACTTAACCAGAAGTTTACGAGGCGGAGTTGGGGAATTTTCGAGCCACACAAATTTTTGTATTATCGTTTTTCTTGTATGAATTTTTTTAGGACGTAGCATGAATATTTTTAGGGTTAATTGGCGTGCATGCATTTTTTCATTTAATTTTCCCTTGCGCGAATATTTTGTTTGTACTTCGTCCATCACTGTCGGGAGTTTAGCCAGTTTTTAACATAATCGCGTTTTGACTCATTTCCAATTTGTTCGACCCTAACAGCTACACAATGTTGCGTTGACGAGAGAGCGAGAGAGAGCATAAAACGCTGACGGTCAGCTTTTACCTCCCCTTTCCCCATCAGTATTCCGTTTTACCGGCACGACGTTCTCGTCGCCGGCGCTGTCCGTAGTTTTAAACTCTCTAACAGCGCCTCTTGTCGACGCCTTTTGGACTGGCGTTGAAATTAATCATATAAAGCTGGGCTTTTACTGTAATCCGTACCATGCAGTGTATCGTCGTATAAAGTAAATTAAAAAAGTTTATTGGAGGCCGCCGTATGATGAAGGATTAAGCATTGTTTAATTACTTAATCCTGCATTGACTGAATTTCACATACTAGCCCGAGACATTCTAATTTGTGAGGGGAATTAATGAGGACTTTAATTTCCTAAAGTACGGACAGAACTGGAAATAGATGAGTGGACTCGCCACAGACCCACCGATTACGATTTTCTAGACAGTTGTCGCGGTTGCTACTTGAATTGCAAACAAATTTAAGCGATGCGTGACAAAAGATTTTGTCAATGAGGTGTTAATTGAGAAGTGATTACCTCCCAGGAGGTGGGGTAATACGAGGTCTTATTTACCAGCTGGCAAATTCAGAAACATTCCTTAAAAATTTGTGATACCTTAACTCAAAGTGATTACTTATACGAGTGAGTCACGTAAACCAAAGTTTAAGTTGCAAAGTTGCAAACAAATAAAACTGCACCGGCGAAGTTTTGGAGCTTGCGGATAATTAATTTTGATTGATTACTCCTAGTAATTTGGTTAGGTTTATCCAAATTTTTCCCCGATGATAAGTAAAATTTGTAGCATCCCTTCTGAACCTAGTTTTTGCATCCAATAGACCCCGTACGAACCAGGGGTGCATGCTATGCACTCAATAAATTTGTTTAAACGCACACTTGTAGTCGTTTGCCAGTTTTGGCGAGAGGGAGTTTAACCATGTTAACCATGATTTATTTAAACCAAAGTTATGTAGTATTTTGATTACCATCCAACATAGCTGAAGAACGGAATTATAGACCATAAATTAAATGTTTTTGTCTTTAAATAATGACTTTAGGGATCAAAATAGTATCCGGCGAAAATTAGCTTTTTCTTTTTTCTCCTTTTGTTACACTTTTATGCATTTACTTTCGTGAACTTTGTTAAATTAAATAATCTGAAGAAGGCAGACAGGTTGATTGATCTTGTCTAAAGTGAACAATAAAGTTTGAAAGGCTTGTTGTAGATGCCAAAGACGGAATTTGGCAATATTGGATAGCTCTGTATGTGACATACACATGCAAGATTACACAACTTTAAGGTATTTGAAGGAATGTGAAAACAGCACCGACAGTTTGACGGTAAATCTCCTGACCAGTTAAGAATAAATGGATCGAATTAAATGACTGTCATTTTCACCATACGTTTTACTTACAATGTACACGATTGTTTTCTTTTTTGCTTGTTTATTTAGATCCGAGGTTCAAGGTAAACTTACTATTTTCCGGCGTCACACTTGACTCGCTTTTTTCAACTGCTTTTTTTTCCCATAACGAGACTAAATCAATCTTGATCTTTTTTCTCCGCTGTGGGTATTTACTTTTGTGTGTATCTGAAAGGCATAAAACCCTTTTTACAAACTAATTCTCTATTAGTATGTCATTTTGTGATAGACAGTAGTATTCAAACTTAACGCTTGATTCCATATATAAAAAACGATATTGGATGCCGATCAGTTATCCTTTCTTACTAAATATTTCATCAATTCCCAACTCCCTTTCTGGATCGTCTTTGTCCACTACTTGAAAAGGCTTTCTAGGTCTCCGTACGTATCTAGCTTTCTTTGCCTCTTGTAATAGATCTTGCAAAGGAGGGAGGAGGTACACTGTTCTTGGTAGACCGTCCGGTGGGACGTGCATATAAGGCGTTATATCAGAGTCTTCATTGTCATCGTCGATAAATTGATTTGGTGGTTGAGAAAGCCTATTTTGAATCCTGTCTTTAACAGCATCAAGGCTGAGATTTACCAAAAGAGAGTCAGCTTTTGGAGCCCCTCGTGGCNGTAGTCGTTTGCCAGTTTTGGCGAGAGGGAGTTTAACCATGTTAACCATGATTTATTTAAACCAAAGTTATGTAGTATTTTGATTACCATCCAACATAGCTGAAGAACGGAATTATAGACCATAAATTAAAATGTTTTTGTCTTTAAATAATGGCTTTAGGGATCATAATAGTATCCGGCGAAAATTAGCTTTTTCTTTTTTCTCCTTTTGTTACACTTTTACGCATTTACTTTCGTGAACTTTGTGAAATTAAATAATCTGAAGAAGGCAGACAGGTTGATTGATGTTGCCTAAAGTGAACAATAAAGTTTGAAAGGCTTGTTGTAGATGCCAAAGACGGAATTTGGCAATATTGGATAGCTCTGTATGTGACATACACATGCAAGATTACGCAACTTTAAAGTCTTTGAAGGAATGTGAAAACAGCACCGACAGTTTGACGGTAAATCTCCTGACCAGTTAAGAATAAATGGATCGAATTAAATGACTCTCATTTTCACCATACGTTTTACGTACAATGTACACGATTGTTTTCTTTTTTGCTTGTTTATTTAGATCCGAGGTTCAAGGTAAACTTACTATTTTCCGGCGTCACACTTGACTCGCTTTTTTCAACTGCTTTTTTTTCCCATAACGAGACTAAATCAATCTTGATCTTTTTTCTCCGCTGTGGGTATTTACTTTTGTGTGTATCTGAAAGGCATAAAACCCTTTTTACAAACTAATTCTCTATTAGTATGTCATTTTGTGATAGACAGTAGTATTCAAACTTAACGCTTGATTCCATATATAAAAAACGATATTGGATGCCGATCAGTTATCCTTTCTTACTAAATATTTCATCAATTCCCAACTCCCTTTCTGGATCGTCTTTGTCCACTACTTGAAAAGGCTTTCTAGGTCTCCGTACGTATCTAGCTTTCTTTGCCTCTTGTAATAGATCTTGCAAAGGAGGGAGGAGGTACACTGTTCTTGGTAGACCGTCCGGTGGGACGTGCATATAAGGCGTTATATCAGAGTCTTCATTGTCATCGTCGATAAATTGATTTGGTGGTTGAGAAAGCCTATTTTGAATCCTGTCTTTAACAGCATCAAGGCTGAGATTTACCAAAAGAGAGTCAGCTTTTGGAGCCCCTCGTGGCGAGGCAGGTCGAAGTCTCTCGGTTTCACCGCTTGTATCTGTTACAGAAACAGATATCGGTTGCTCAGTTGCTTGACCCGATGACGTCGTAGCCTCAAGGCTCAGTTTTCTCCTCGATTGCCGTCGCTTTGCAGTTTCTTTATTGAGCTTCGATGAAAAACGCGAAGAGTTAGCCTGGGCTTCTCTAATTGCAAACTCGGTATTTGTCCTTGAGGTTAGGTCTGGAGGAACCCGAGAAGGTAAAACAGACGTACTGTTCATGGAGGGTAACGTTGGTAACGATAAACTTTTTCGTCGTGTACGTGAAATGTCCGAATTTTGTGCCTCTCGATCCTTTCCTTTGTTGCCGTCCGTATTGGCATTGGTTGACAAGTCCGACATTTTGCCTTTTCGCAGGTTTTTCCCAGATTCCATTCTCCTAAACTTTTTTCCCCTTCTTGCTGTATCATTTCTGGCTTTACTCGCCATTTTTTCACCGAATTGATCTAAAGTTCCCGAAGAATTCGCGATGTCTTTCAACTCGTGTTTGATTCGCCTCATTTCGTAATTCATGGAGTTTAAATTGGCTGTCTGATGTTCCTCTATGTTTCCCTTGTGAAGTTGTAAGCGATTGTGCGCGCGTTTGTTCAGATCACGAGCCATACTTGCATTGTAATCAAGCTGCTGGGCAGACAAAATGATATTGTTGCTGCGTCGTGGAACCCTATCAGCCATCACGAGTAGAATTAATCGGTAACTGTCTGTCAAAATGACTTGCCGAGCAAGCACTCTCGCGGCTTTCAACCTCAATCGCCCTTTTAGTACGGTTGTCACCCAAAGAAACAAAGACTGGGACGTCTTGACAAGTCGTTGAAAATCACTGTAGTGTTTAATTAATCGCTTGCATAGCAATTTGCTAGTCGATACATCAAAGACTGAAAAGGAAGAATGTTAAACATTTGCGCTATTGGCATGAGACACTAAAAACGTCACGCTGCATTTGAGACCATGAACAAAGTACAACAAAGGGAGTAGCACAAAGACTTGCGTCAAACTCCAACCGCAGTTAATGTTATTTCTAAATACAGTTCGTGCGCAAAAAGGCTTCTATATTTTGTGTCATGGCCTTTCGTAAACAAACTCTATTGAACTACTTTGAAGTTCCGGAAGAGTTTCAAACAAAGTCAGCGTGCGATTCACACTACGAGATTCAAATCATCTTTAAAAAACAATTACTTGATTCATTTGTCTTGACTTTTTTCCATTTTTCTCAAAAGCTTTATTTTGATCAATTTTATACCGGTTTTGCTATCTTTTGTTTTGCAAATTAATCAGTTTCGTGACTTTCCAAGAAGAATAGTAGTTAGGGTCATCTATTACGTCATAGTTTTACAACAACAAACAAATCAAAACAAAGAGAAGTTGTTCAGTTTTTGCGAAAAATTGTATCTCCTGCTTGGCAAACTTGTATCCTGCTAAGCGGAGATAAATTTATTCTTTAATGAACATTGCGAACTGTAACGATTTAGAAAGAAGTAGAATTTAGGAAGATGTAAGACTATCAACTACTTTACGGGGGCGGGGGAGGTAAAGTATGTTTGGGGATGCGGCGCTCAATCAAGTGCTTCAACCGGACCCCGAATTGAAATGTCACAGTAAAAGCGTCGGGTTTCGTAGGCCATGAGCGTTGGAATTACAGGTTGAAAAGGGGTGAGAAGGAACTTCTCCTGAAAGAAAAAAACAAAACAACTTCAAAACTTTCTTGAGTGCGAGCCGTCTCTCATTTTTTCCTCCGTGCACGCGAACCCGACACACCAAGAGGTCTTTGATTGTACTTTTTTTCTTTAACCCCCTTTCATGAGAACTAATTTACACACTTCGGTCGAATTGCATAAAGCATTTTACGGTAACGGGAACCCGTCAATATTGATTCAAAAAATAGGTTTTTATTTCAGGACAATAATTAAGAGTAATATGCAACCGGGCATGATCTGATGCCTTTCATTCATGCAAATAGCCTATATTCATTAATGGACTTAGGATATTGGACTCTGTAGTTGTAGGCAGGTTTTGCGTATAGTGCGGACGTCCGGTAAAAGCATTCCCCGCTTCTTTTTTTATATTTGCTGATGTCTGGTTCTAATGGATGACTATGATGAGTCAAGAATCCTAATTAACCACTGTTTAAATAACCTGTAGGATGCCACCGCTTTTGGCAAGTTTACCCCCCAAAAGGTTCTGATTGTTCACTTTTAGAAAACCCTCTCATTTTTAAGAGAGCCCTGTACTCTTTCCCAGGCAACGAAACGTAAGTGTGCTTACATCGTGGTATTAAACCAGTTGCTTTAAGCAGCCATTATCAGTATTATAGCCTGCATAACAGGCGCTTTATGATCCAAGAAAGGCGACCGCGGCATTTCGCGCGAAGCGCGACACACGCGAGACGAAGGGAGGAGAAAAAATAAAGCCTGTTGCCAGTCCATTGTTCTGGCTCTTCCGCCCACCTACCTATTTTCAGTCTCCTCCCCTCGTCTCGCGCGTGTCGCGCTTCGCGCGAAATGCCGCGTTCGCCTCGCTTGGCTCATAAAGCGCCTGTTATGCAGGCTACAATATTAGGCGTTCGCTGAGATATATGCCAATCAAATACTGTGGATGAGGTACTCCCTATAATGGCCTTTACGGGTATGCTCTGCCCTTTAAGTTAAGGGATATCTTACCTTTTTCGAGCTTCAAGTATAGGAAACACTAGGATTTCATTAAAGTAGAAAATATGAAAGGGTAGGGAAATTCGTCAATGCGGTCTGTGAAAGGACCTAAAAGGACTAACATGCGCATTTTATGGCTGTGAAATACCCAATGGCAAACGAGAAGATCCTGGGGACGAGATTGTTCTGTTCCCGTGTCTTCGTATTTTTACTTCCGGTTTTGCATGCGCCGGCAATATTCTAGTCAGCAATGATTACGTGAGTATGCGTAAACAAAGACCGGCCTGTAAACGGAAGTGGAACAGGGTCTTGTTGGAGAAGTCGTTCAAAATAGAGCGGCACGTTATGAATCGACAACGATTAAAAAGTCGCTAATTGATCCTCAATGTTTGCAAAACTCAAGCAGAAGATCGCCGAGGAGGAACAAAACTCTGATTCCAGTCGTCCTTTACCTTCCAGCCCGAGCGTTCGGCGACCTAAAGTCAATGGCTGGACTGAGAATAAGTGGGAGAGACGAAGGCTTAGCAATGCAAGTAACTTGTACGAATCTAGGGAATCTATTTACAGTGAAAGCAGTGTCGCTTCATCTGGGTATAATGTATCAAGACATGCTTCATTCACGAGCAGATCAAATTCAACTCCAGCAGGAACGCCGATTGAGTCTTCTTCGAATTTTACGGTTAGTATTAGGGAACGTGTTCTCCCCATCTTGCTTTCTCTCATGACTTTTTAATATCCTACATTGTTTCGTTGTGACCTTGACTACACCGTGTCCAACGTTTTAGCTAGAACTTAAAGGAAGTAAACTTAAAATAATCCAAAAGATGAATGAAACTATTAGCTGAAGCTTCAAGGCTCTCAACTGCAAGTAAACAAATGCTCTTTTGTGGATCGAATCATTGATCAAACCAAAGCGCTTCGTTATGGACTTGAATTAAATTATTCTTCCACGTTGCCGGCTCATTATACCAGTACCCATATCTCCCAGAATAAAATTAGTTTGGTAAAAGCGATGAAGTGATTAGAATAACCTTACTCTAACTAAAAAGGTATTAAAAGACGAGATATTCTACTCTGGATCTGATCTAAGTAAACTGCATTTCATTAATAATAAATGAAAGGTTGGTAAATTGGTTGTCTTTGTTAGAGTTTGGCCGTAAATTACGAGAGTTGATTTTATCTGTGAATTGAATTCAACTAATGGATCTTTATCCATTATCAGTCGCTATCACGAAATAATTTATGCTGTTTAGCACTTTTGTAATGAAACAATATTTGGTAATAAATTTGTTTAGTCATGAGTTTTGCCTGACTGAGTTGTCAAATAGTAATTGAATTATATGTGTCTACAATAAGCATCCCTCTGTTTGTTGTTTATGGATGGTGTTGTTAAAACAGCCTCAGCCAGTCACTTTAGAAGTGTAGTTCTTTTTGGCTCTAGAGTTATGATACAAATACAGTCCAAATCATCATGCCTTCAAATCAGTGCTGGCTATTTGCATACATTTGTGAGGCTTGCATTGTAAAGCACTGAGGTCTTCAATCCCCCTAGTGCAGGCACGGATCCACACCGGTTTCTACTAGTTTATGGAAATCGGTCAGATTTTTCATAACAGATTTATAAAAGAAAAAACTTTCCAAGTTGCAAGGCTTCATCCCAGGAGAAGGAACTGGCCAATATCCTGTCTGAATGCATGGCTGAGAAACCCAGGAAAGGGGACTTGGGGTGTTAAAATAAAAAAATTCTCATGGGGAGCATGCCGCCAGACCCCCCTAGGGACTTGCATCTTTGGCGCTCGTTTAGGAAATCAGTCAGTATTTGTCCTAGATCCATGCCTATAGTACATGTGTAGGCATGATTTCCAGCTCTCCTCAGGTGATTGGTTCGGCCTTAATTGTTCCAGCTTTGGTCGCTGCCCTACCCCTGTCGTGATTTTTTTCAAAAAAGCTCCATATGTTATTGAATAGAAGATGGGCCAGGGCTGTCACTAAGAATTCAAGTTGCTGGGTAAATACAACAAGTAGGAAGGGAATCAAACAGCCAGGGTTTTCTTTTGGTTCAATTTTTCTTGTATTTTCCTATGAAAGTAGCTGGGGCCCACGTTCGTAGTAGCCAGGGGAAATCCTAGGCCCTCAGCTCTTAATGACAGCCCTGAGGTGGGCACCCAAGTTTTTCATATCATGAGAGAAGGTAGGCATAACACCTGACCACTTTGTCCTCAATCAAGGCAGAATAACTTGGTAAAGTTCATCACTACCATTTAACCATCTTGAAATTTTCACATTATTCTCTACAAACCTGTCAAAGAACAAAACCACTCTCCAAATAGCAGCTGGACTGATGGTTAGGTAAACCCAAGTATCAACTATCAGGACTGTATAATATTGTTATGATTTCCTTTGTTTTCCTTCTCATTGCACATCCAGGTTAATAGCAGATCATCAAANATAGAAGATGGGCCAGGGCTGTCACTAAGAATTCAAGTTGCTGGGTAAATACAACAAGTAGGAAGGGAATCAAACAGCCAGGGTTTTCTTTTGGTTCAATTTTTCTTGTATTTTCCTATGAAAGTAGCTGGGGCCCACGTTCGTAGTAGCCAGGGGAAATCCTAGGCCCTCAGCTCTTAATGACAGCCCTGAGGTGGGCACCCAAGTTTTTCATATCATGAGAGAAGGTAGGCATAACACCTGACCACTTTGTCCTCAATCAAGGCAGAATAACTTGGTAAAGTTCATCACTACCATTTAACCATCTTGAAATTTTCACATTATTCTCTACAAACCTGTCAAAGAACAAAACCACTCTCCAAATAGCAGCTGGACTGATGGTTAGGTAAACCCAAGTATCAACTATCAGGACTGTATAATATTGTTATGATTTCCTTTGTTTTCCTTCTCATTGCACATCCAGGTTAATAGCAGATCATCAAAGGAAGAAATTCTTGATCTGCTGGCAAAGAGAGGGGAGCAAGTTTACAAGCTGGAGGCAAAGATTGCAGGTACATGATATGTATATGATGCAATAGAATGGAATGTTATATGTATTCACTGTCTAGTTGATTCAATATGTTGATGTTCGTGTATCTGTTTAAAGTTATTGTTATGATTCAACCCTATTGTTGTAATGTTTTTACTTTTCCTTCCCGCCTCGATTAGCTATAGACTTCTTTGTGGGCAAGGATTAATTATGGCTTGTATCAAAAGTGTTTAAAATAAACTTGAACTTGAACTTGAACTTGAACTTGTTACACCTTAAATGAGATTTACTTGAAAAACGTTTATATTGAAGGCAACATGCTAGATGAAATGGACGAATCTCATTTACCTAGCCCTACAATCATCTCTTCAAAGTAGGACATCTCTTTTACAGCTGTGCTCCAAGCAAAATGTTTGGTGCTCAGTGCTTTGAACCTGTGATATCCAGCATACAATTTTTATGTAAAAATGAAGAATGATTTGCTAGTTAACCAAGAAAAAAAGATGCTAGGGACCTCTCCTAACAACAGCCCTGTCTTTATAGGCTGAAAGAGGTTTATTTATAATGCATTTTTTATGTTATCACCAACACCTCTAGCTCATTACACATTTTTTTGTAAGCTGTTTTCATATTTGATACCCCAGTTAATTGAAGTCAAACCGCCATGTGGGATTGTTTGTTTCTTGTCAATAGCCATGCACCTGGTGATCCCTCTATTTTAAATTTCCCATCAAAGCAGTAGTAAATTATTGCAACCTCTTGTAAGCAAGCTTAGATAGAACCTCAATAAGCAATCACCAGATCTCGGCAGTTCAGGTTGTGGTTTATGTACTCTTTGAAGGTTTGACTAATGTCATTTTGCTGGTCAAAACTTCAGACATGGCAAGTCTTCTTAGAGAGCAAACAAGAATTAAAGAATCACTAGAGGGTGCTCTTGAGAGGCAAAGGGAAGGTATGCATACTATCTATCAAGAAATTGCGAATCTTGGAAATAATAATTTAGGAGAGGAAGGGCTGTTCAGACAGTGTGATTTTTTGAGGATATAATTAAGTCGCAAAGTTAGCAACCATTAGATTGCATGTACACACTTACTATGATTAACATAACCAAAAGGTTTGTAATAATTAAAAATGATTATACATGTTGGTGATAAGTGGAGCTCTTGTGTGGGCAAAGCGTGTGCAGCAGAGCACCATCTATGCAGCCAAAAAAGTTTGTTGCGACAAAATCCTGTGTAGGTCTCACCATACATCCACCCGTTCATGTCAGTGGATGTGAAATGTCACACTTACTTGCTTGGAGTACAAAGCATAAAAAATCTGTGTTTAACTTGATAATTTGGACATCCATGTTATGTTCAATTGACAGCAGTCAAAATAGAATATTTTTTGACTAGTGTCACATGACTATATCACTGGCTCAGGTATTCAACTAACTAAGGCATTATGTTATTTTTAAGTTATCTGCTGACCAGTTATTGGTTAATTTTTAATCAATCACAGGCTCAGGTCCATTTTTTTAGGAGGAGTTCAGTTTGCTTCTTGTTTACGGCAAAATTTGAATTACTTCAGAAATGCATTTTTCAAAAGATCCCACGAGAATTTTGCTTTTGGCCTAATTGTTAAATCTATATATTTAATCATGTTTCCTTAATTAACCATATATGGTATTGTTTCAGAGCAAAGTACAAGAATTAGAAGCCTCCAAGCTGATTTTGAAAAGACTCTAAATGAAAAGAATCAGGTATTTTTTAAAAGTGTTGACATTTTGATATCTGCACATGTTGTGGTTTCTAGCAAACTCCTATAATGGTTGAATTATAAAATGTTTGAATTTTTCAAAGGGACTCCATTATTCCTCTATCGACCAGTTTGTCAAATTATTATGTAAGAACGAGACCTTGGTCTTTATAGTTTCTGCATATTTTAAGCCAAATATAATTAATGGCACTAATGACCAAAATGAAGCTCTTAGAAAGACAATTTCCACTGAAATAAATTTAAAACAATAAGTTAGAATAACCTTTTCATTTTGTGAAATAATTTGTAGGAACTTGAAACTAAACTCAAGGCCCTAACATTGGTAAGATTTTAGTGCATTGTGGCTGATTGTTAGAATTGTTATAAATATTATCCATAAAATATTATATTGTATTTTACCCATAAACTTTAAAAATAAGGGTGTAATTGAGTTTTAGAGCAAGTGCTGAACAATCATACATGAGGCTGAGCATGATATTTTTGAAATGTATAAATAAAGTGTAATTTATTACATCTTATATGAAAAAAACACATAAACAAAAACAACAATGAAAACAACAAATATAAAAGTTTAAGACTTTTTATGGTGTTTAATCCGTTCACACCTGAACTGCCCATGTCCCTTGTACTGTTTGTGACATCATGACAGGGACAGTGCAGTGTGTCATTTTTTTTGCCTGCTGCACATAGCTTTAAGATTGGAATTGGGAAAGCTAATATTTTCCTTCAGCATAGTGCTTGACTTGTACTGGGCATTTTGTGCAGTTTTGGTCTGATTTGGCCAGACGGTATCCGCAAAATGGCTAAACTTACTAGGCTCAAGGCGTTTTTCGGCAAAATTTCCAGCAGCATTTTGAATTAAGTATGTTTAGTGAAATTCTACTGTTAGTATTTGTTGTTACACTAAAACTATTGTTTTGATTAAATCTGAAAATAAGACTTAAACTTGACGATCACAATTTCTTTTTTAGTAAATAATTTTGAAGCATCTAAACATGATAAATCCTAGTAATATTAATTCTAATGGTAATACTACTAAATCCTTTCGTGTGCGATACGTCTGTACTTACTCAATTTGCTTGAGGTCGTTGTTCTTGAGTGTTCCTACTTTAGGAACCATCCAACAAAACTCGTACCCCTGTTTGTTTCTTTAAAATGCACTTAACCCTTTCAAGTTTTGCTAATTAGGCAAAGATATAATAAACACTTATAATGTACTTAAGGGGCTGTGGAGATGGGACTTTTGTAGCATCACGTGGTACCAAATACAGTAGCTGGAGAACGATTTTTTTGTTGTCTACTTTGTAAACGAGGAGGCTGGCGCCGAAGTGTGTCTCGTTGCTGGGGTTGCGCCGGTCAGCTATCGACCAATTTTTTCCTTTCTTCCTGATAAAAGTCCCAGAATTCTTTGTGATAGTTAACTCACCCCAGTTTTCTTTTCGTTTCTACAGCGGCAAATGCGTTGTTTACTCACTAGCGTAGCTACTTCATACTATGCAACGTTTTGTTGCAAAAAGCCCATATCTGTTCAACCTTAATAGGAGTTTGCTAGTAAGCCCGCCGTCTTGCACTCGTTTTTAATGTAAAAGTGTTACTTATCAATGGCCTGTGGCTGATAGATCTTGAGTAACAACGTGGAGAATTAAACATGAAACAGGAAGAAATCATTCCCATGCTAAGCACAGAAACTTTTCTTTTCCACTTTTTTATGCATGCCAATTAAACTAAAAGTACCGTATTTATTCGAAGAATTTTGAGTTGGATGGTGATCACAAAACAAATCGTCACTAACAAAAGTTAAAAAGGTTCAAATTTGACTTTCTTTTTCAATAAATAATGTCGAAAAAAAATAATGATTTGAACCCATTTTGCAGAGAAGCATTTTTAACAATTAACAATGGATGAAAATCAATACTGTTAACCCTAAGTGTATTTTCTAACGTTTGTACAGATGATGTTTAGATTTTTGCTGCCGTCCATCAAAAAAGAAAAAACTTACAATCACCATTTAAATGCAGCTGATAAAAAAACTTAACAAGCAATAGGTCGGGCGCTGTTTCCGAGTTAAAAAGCATAATCATTATGCGGCTTAAACGTCATTTAAATCGTGTCGTTGAACAATCATGGCTTAAAGAATTCAAAGTATATATATAAAAAAGTTAATGTGTACGTGATTTAACCCTTTAAAACAGTTCATCCAGTACCAAACCGATGCTACTCGTAAAGCTGCAGAAATTATTGAGAAAAGCAAGGTAGGGACTGAAATAAATCAGATTATATAAAGCCATAAACCGTAAATTCACTTAACTGGCCTAGTAGAATGCGGTATTGATATAGAGCTTTTAACTCACGAAGCCTTACATAAGAACTTCAAGAGGTTTAACTCCCACTTCAACATCTTTTGTGCTGTTGAACCCTCTACAGTAAGACACTTGAATTTTCCCCTGTCAAAAGGGAAAACCTTATCCGTAAGAATAGTGTTAGTACGGAATAATTTTGGTAGGGTATACTTTATCACAAACGGGCACTTGTGCGTTGCTTTTCTTTTCTTTTCTGTTTTTCCTGTCTTTTTCTGTTAAATCGTGGCCGAAATATTCACTCTTTTAGCCCTTGTGTACGGTTACTGTTGGTATTAATTGTTTTTATGTTTTCTGTGGTAGCAAATCGAAAACTTGGACAAATCCTATCTTGAGCAAAAAGAAGAATTGGCGTCCCTTCAAGAACGTTTAGATGATTTGGCTCGCGAAAGGTATTGATTTGTACCCCTCTAATCCAGGCCAGCGTTTGAAGGGAAAAAAGAAAGGGTTCTGCCCCTTACCCTACCATGCCGTTCCCTTCGCGTTCAAGCACGCCCCTCGCGTTCATGCGCGCCCTTGACGTTCTCGCGTGCCCATCGTAATCACGCGCGCCTCTCAAACTTTCTACTCCATTCTCACTCTCCCGCGCCCTTTGCATTCACGCGCGGGCTAGGTTTTTCCTTCTTTCCTTTCGAGCGCCAGGCGATGTTCAAAGGCCGTGTGCTCTGGAAGAAGTCATCATTTTTAAACCACGCATAAAGCAAAACCTAGAAGCCCCTCCCCATCACGTTCTCCCCCCTGCCACCCAAAAAGACAATCAAGTATCAGAAATGATTTTTCAATGCTGATCTCATTTTCCAACCCTGCGTTTCTTTCATTTTTCGTTTGTTAAGATGTATGGATTACTATGCGATTTCTCTCATTTTCCTGAGATGTGCTGGACATAAGCAACAAAAATAACACTGTAACATGAATCAAAATACCATTTTAATTGTTTTGCTCTCATTATGTCTTAGCCTGCGAACCGCAGAGGTATGTCCGGTCGTCGCTTCCCTGCCTCCGGTCTTTCTCCGCGGGTGAAACTAAAGCCGAAAAAAACGGATGCTCTCGCAGGCTAATTATGTGTATGTTTATTTGGTTGTATTTTTATCAGAACGAAGTATGAAGTACGTGACAAGCAGCAACAGAGTCGAATAACAACATTAGAAAAAGAAAAGAAATCATTGCAAGACGAGCTAACTAGCACTGTCAACGAACTGACCAAGGTGCGAGGGAATTTTTTCATTCTACCTTGTTAACCATAGTCGACAGTATATCATCATGCAGTAATTAATAACAACTTAAGCTCTTACTGAGTCGCACTTGATAACGCTATTCCTTGTCTGGCAGGTTTCGGTTATAATACAATAATTTTATGAGGATCTTACGAGAAATAAATTAAAATTTAGATATTACTGATGAAAATCCTTTGGAGTAAACTTGCAAAATGCTCGACTAAATTGTANGTATGAAGTACGTGACAAGCAGCAACAGAGTCGAATAACAACATTAGAAAAAGAAAAGAAATCATTGCAAGACGAGCTAACTAGCACTGTCAACGAACTGACCAAGGTGCGAGGGAATTTTTTCATTCTACCTTGTTAACCATAGTCGACAGTATATCATCATGCAGTAATTAATAACAACTTAAGCTCTTACTGAGTCGCACTTGATAACGCTATTCCTTGTCTGGCAGGTTTCGGTTATAATACAATAATTTTATGAGGATCTTACGAGAAATAAATTAAAATTTAGATATTACTGATGAAAATCCTTTGGAGTAAACTTGCAAAATGCTCGACTAAATTGTAGCGATACTACAGGGCTTGTTCCAGGATCGAGTACACTACGAGTAATCCACATTTTTCCTCAGGGATAGTAGAGCAAGCGTGCGTGAAGATAACCCCACGCGGGAAAGGGGAGACGCGGCGGGGAGACAGAAAAATGCCGCGTCTCACCTTTCTCGCGTGGGGTGATTTTCACGCGCGCTAGCGTTTCGCTTGCCCTACTATCCATGAGGAAAAATGGGGACTACTCGTAGTGTAGGATCGAGTGCTTCTTGAGCATTTCAGTTCAAAGGCGTAGCGCTCGAATCGTCTCTTTATGAATCCATCTACGTGGCCATACAAACTTAGCTCACTTGTATTCACTCAGGTCTGGAACCGTCGGCCAATTTTACCTCATGAACTCAGCTGATGTTATCAATTTTTTGGTCAAACGGTAGCTGGTTTGGTATGATTTGTAAGGAATGTTGACATGATGTTGTCTTTAAAACCGTAGAAATCAGTGCAGCTTGATAGAGCAGAGAAAAATCACAGTCAAACAGAGGAGCAACTAGCCAACCTGCGCCAAACACACTCTCTTTATAAGAATAAGGTGCGAGATGTATTTTTTTAGAGAAAAAGAAGCTGTTCTTTATTTCTTAGCCATAGTTGTCATGTATCAGTTTTCTGCGTTTTTAGTTGTCAGAACATAGTCTAAGCCAATAAGGGAAAAGTACGAATCAAATGGAGATAGTTTCTGATTGTCTAGAGAAGCGCCTAATTTTTGTTAAGAATTATAAGTTGCTCCTGACAATTGCAACTTTCGACTTACTGTGGAGTGGAAATTATCTTGAGAGGCTAATAGAAGTGCATTCGTGGAAATGTCGTTGGCAGATTCAAGAATCAGAAGAGCATTTAAAAAAAGTAGTTGTGAAGCAAATAGAATACACTTTTTTGCTTACACAGTTTATTTTCTCTTGCCTGCGATTGAAGGTTTCACAGGAACTTGAAGAAAAAGATAACGAAACTTCTCAGTTGAATGAGCGAGTGGGTGATTTACAACGAAGGTATGATCGACGAATCTCAAGCAGTCATTTCATGTGTGATATACAGCGTCTGTTGCATTGACTGCATTGTGCTATTACCAAAGCAGTCATTTTCATTGGCTCCCGTAAACGAAAGGCGCTTTCCAAAATTCAAAATTCCCCGAAATTTTCCTCAAAACCCACCACTGCCGGACACGGCATTGAATAATAACCGATGCCAGGCCTGCATGCAGTCACAGGAACTGCATCAATGGACGTCTTTTTGATCTAGCCCCTGATAAGTTGAATAAATAACACTTTGGCTGACAGTTGTTCCTGTGACTTTGCGCGGGAAAATGCATGCAGGCTTGGCATCGGTTTGACTTGTATGCCAGCGATGTGCAGTAGGCGTTGACTCTAATCAGCGTATTGCATTAGTTACTTTATCGGTTCCATTCCAGGTAATCTGTCAGAAATGTGACTGAAAAATGACAGTAATTTGATTCCGATAGCTTTCTCAAACTTTATAGAGACAAACTCACCACTCTCAGTTGATCTGATACTTGTTTTGATATTCTTTTCTAGACTCGAGGATAGCAAACTTTCTGGTAGCGATCAAGTTAATGCCATGGAAAAAGAGGTACGGGTCTGCGTGGGACGTTTTGCGTTTAAAGTTCATTTGGTTGTTGCCTCGCCCAGGTGTTTATATACTGTTGTTCAAAAGCTGTTAAGGGTTCATTCCATGCGGTTAAACAAATATTGTAACGCTGTTGTTGTCGTAATATTTCAGGAGCTAGTTTCCAACTATACCAATGAACGCCGGTAAATCTAACTCTAATTTTGTTAGAGATGTGTTTAAAAGGTTTGAGAGTTTTTTTCCCGGATACTCTGGGATTTTCTCTCTCCTCAAAAACCAACATTTCTGAAATTCCAAGTAGACGTGGGATTTAGTAGCAAAGAGCCAATCTGTGAGTGTACTTCCACCAAAGTATTATCTGTTTATGAAATCATTTAAGTAGTTAGTTACGTGTATATAGTTAGTTATTTAACGAGAATTGAATGCGTAAGTAAAGTAACTCGACTTCTATTTTTCAGCGAGAACAACTCGAGAGCCGTCTTCAGGAATCTCGTGATCAACTTAACGAGTTGAGGACGAACTCAAACGATCGAATCAACACACTTGGATCTCTGGTGAGGGCCTATGAAGCCCCAGTCTCCCCACTCACATGTTGATTCATCAGGCCCCGGTTGTTCAAAAGGTTGATAGCGCTATCCACCGGATAAATCACTATCCCCCGATAAATCACTATCCACCGGATAAATCACTATCCACCGGATAAATTACTATCCACTGGATAAATCTCTATTCACCGGATAAATCACCGACTACCGGATAAATCTTTATCCTACGGATAGCGTAATTGCTTTTCCTAATACTTATCCACCGGATAACGATTCATCCCGTTGATAGTGCTATCCAGCATTTGAACAACTGGGGCCCGAACTACTTAAGAAAAAGACAGTTTTCCATTATCTATAGAAGTGACTTGAAAGTGTTCAAATTTTGCGTCTTAACCACTCGCATGCGGCTCCTGGGTCCACTTGAGTTTCAGTGAACATTTTGAGGTCATTTTTTGGGTCTAAAAGTGAAAACTTTTTAATTGTTTCAAGTTTCAATCAGATTTAGAGATAATTCTTCTTTTTAGGTCAGCACACTTAATGAAAGACTAGAGAGAAAGGAATCAGAGCTAACAGAATGCAAGAGAAAATACGATCAGGATTATGAAATCTGGAGAAGTAAAGTACGTTTTGCTGCATGGTTACTGCTGTTAGAGAGAGCTTGTTTCGGTTACTCATAGTGTATGGGTTTTGTGGGTCTTAATGCAGATGTTAGGCTATAGTTATTTAGATTAAGTCTTAAAGTGGCAACTCTGCCGTCTATGTAACACTTCCGACTCACTTACCCTGTATCAGAACCGCTTAGGAACGAGTTGTAACCATACTAAGTATATCCTGGTGATTGAGTGACAGAATGATGAAAACGAGCACATGAAAATATCGTTATTCCCTCTCCAACTTCCAGAGCGAAAAAGCTTGCTTGTAGTCAATATGATCCCTAAGCTACCTTGCATTTTCCTTCATCGTGTTTGGATGAAGGTTTTGGATTGATATTTTTATTCGGTTCCAGCAGCACGCTTCTCCTTCTTCCTCTTCTTACTCTTATTTACAATGGGGTAATAAATGAATCTTCTTTTGCTGTTCTATGTAGAATCTTCAGCTCGAGCAGCAATTGGAAAGAATACAACAAGATGCTAAGACTGGAAAACGTTCTTCAGCGGAGCAGACCGCGCACTTGGAAGACCAGGTAATCCGGGCGTTGCAGTTTGCGTCAAATACTTTACCATTCATTCTCTTCCCGAAAAAACTGGAGCTGTTTAGCTAAACAAGATTAATAACATTGGAAGCAAACATTTTAACTCAGCAAATTAAACATATCAGTATTTCCATATGATCCTTTGGTTGATCTTGTTTTTCTGACTGTCTTTCATTCAACCTCGATCACCAAAAGCTTGAGATGCATGTGACGATAGTAATCTTGTGTACCTTTATTTTATGGCTCTCTTTTAATAGGTGAGGCTCCTGGAAGCGGCCAGGGAAAGAGAAAAAATTGAAATGCAAACGAAATTGGTAAGAGTCGAAATAAAAGTCCAGATATGGGATTTACTAAGCTGTTCTAACTTTACATCCTGTCAGATATTGATAACTTGTTGATTCAACTAAACTAACTTTTTTGTTATTGTTGTTGTTTTGTACGTTTGGAAGAAAACCAAACCGAATCTCTCCTTTTGTAACCAGTAAGGGCTGGTTTCCTCCGATATAGCTTACGAAAAACAGACATATTCACTTTTTAGCTTACCGATTCTAAATTTTGCTTTAAAGGATCAATTGAAAATGTTCGAGAACGAGTATTCGAGACAAGAAGACTCTTACAAACAACGAATAGCCGACCTCGAGGAAGAAAAAGAGCAACTGCAGGTCAGGATACATAGCGCTTCTTTGCTATAGTGTATTACGGCTGTCTAGTTCGTTGTATTACTACTTCTAAGGCGTCCTTTTTGCCATTAAACTTAACATTAGCTAAGAAATTACTTGCAAATGACAGAATGGGAGCCTTGGGCTAAAACAATGCGTTCCTTAGCATAATATCAAGGGTTACAAATGACAACTCTGATGAACTTTAAAGAACTTTTAGGCTAAGAAGTTTTCAAAAATCTCAATTGCCATCAGTTTTAATCGTCTTCATTTGGGCCGTCCGTACCATCTTTTGCATTTACGGTGTTACTCATAGCTTCTTTTATTGTCTTGAGGCGTTATTTTCGTTTCATTAAATTTTGTGGCAGTCCCCACGTTTTTTTTAATGTCGTGATTCGGCCTCCTCAAATGTTTAACATTGAATTTCGTTGTACTGCGTTCTTTCCATTGGTTTGTGTTGATCGCCTTTTTCTAGTTTAGTATTAGAAATATGGTCTTTCACTGAATATTTCTCGAGAAAAAGGCGATCATTATTACATCCAAACACGGCACAAGGATCTTTTTTCCCATTACAATGTTATTCTAAGAAAACGTTAAGAAAAAATGTCCCGAAAAGTGCTCGAAAATACAAACGAAATGTGCTCATGCCTCCTGAGCATCCTATAATACTCCTTAAATCGAATTAATTCAATATGGCCGCCGTATCGGTAAAAAGGTCTATTGATGGCGTCTTTGCTTGTAAGAAAATCGTACTCGCTCACCACCCCTGATATAATCTTTATGTATCGTATAATGTATTGAATCGTACCGTTATTATTATGATTCCTTGTCAGTATTGTGTTTTCGTTATTCGTGCCAGACATAAAATTTTTAAAATACTCAAACTTGTATATATTTGCAGAGCGAACTAATGTCAAAAGCGGAGGAGAACAGACATGTTTCGCTGTGTTTGGAGGACGCCATGAAAGAGACGAATGAGCTTAAAAGCCAAGTAAGTTGAAATAGGGACGGATTTCATTGATGATATATCCCTTCTTTATTTTCTTACTTTGGTGTGGCTTTGCGGCGGCTTTTTATTGGTTATTAGATGTTGCACGGAAATTTGGTGAATGTGTATTTGTCTGTTATCTGTTTATGACTTATCGAATGAAAAGTGATGGATTATCCTAGTAACAAATATGAATAATTTGCAAAGTCGTATAAAGCTTCTCACATGTTTTAAAGAAAATTAAACCATATAGAAAATTTTGAATTCCATAAACACCAGTGGGTGAAGTAAATCATTTTTTTAACAATGAATGTAGCAGAGTATTATTTAAATTAACAGGACTAATAAATTGAAGCTAAACCTAAAAACTTCCATGAAACGTAACCTCGCTAATTGGTCTAAGCTAAAATATATGGAATAAATGGCTCTGAACTTTCGTATCTAATTGGTTAATGTGTTTATCACATTATAGCATCATGTGCTCTTTTCACCACCATATTTTCAGATCGCAAAATTTGAGGAAAATCTAAAGGAGAAAAATGATCTTTTAACTTGCTTTAAAGAAAATAAGGTGAGAATAAATGTTGGAAAAAGCGTCATAGAAGTTAAATGTTCTAAATACACTAAATACAACAGAGCTTAACAGAAAACCCGTTAGGAATTAGAGCCTGTATTTACCAGAACCCCTTATGCCCAACATTGACACTTAAGCTATTAAAACTCCCTCTTTAAAGAAGATGTCCTTGTAGTTAACGTTCGAGCAAGCTGTCGGCTCAAGGTNCCCCTTCTTAAAGAGAGTGTCCGTGTAGTTTACCTTCGAGCAAGCTGTGGGGGCAAGGGGTGGGAAAAAGGGGGAAAGAGGGCCCGAATCCCCCCCCCCCCCCCCCCCCCATCACCACCTCCTCTTCCTACCCAATCCCTGAGTTGAGAACGTACACCAGCTGAGGCTGACGTTGATTTTACTCATTCTGGACGTCACCTCCTCTGAAGTCAGATTAATAGGTAAATCCCAGTCAATCGGAAACCAGTGCTTATCCGGAAGAATACTGAATAAACAGGATTTGGCCAGGAAATACACACTCAAAAAATGTGAAATTGTTAATATTTTAAAATTGATATTTGGCTTTAGAGGTGATGAAATCAGTTATTGTGTAAATAAGTCCACCTAAATTACTTGTTTTACTCTATTAGCTGAACAGGTAATTCGTATATCTTTTCTAAACCTTAAACGTTAAATTTATGCTTACCTCTAAAATTAAGAATTACTGTGAACGTAAGGCTAGATCTTTTCCGTGCGCAAACTCGTAAGACAACTTTTTTTGTTCTCTCCAAATCACAGCTTGATTCGCCCTCTCATTTTACAAGTAATCTGAGCCCTGAAGCTGTGGAAAACCTCAAACAAGAACTAAGTAGCACTAAGGTAACACTTCACTCAGACTACGAGCAGTCTTCTCTCTTTTTTCTTGGTTCGTTGAGCAAAACGCGCTAGACACGCAAATGACCACGCGCGTGACTGAAGGCGCGAGTTGCTTTTTTTTCTTCTCGGGCTACCGCCCTCGTCGACGCGTTCACTCCCCTCACTAAATCTGAAGAAAAAAGAGAGACTACTCGCAGACTACACTTCACTTATTTGGATGTTTTGTGGAAATGCTTTTCATTGCAACGGCTGAATCAGAAGAGTTACTTTTTTTGTCAGTAATCAGTGTCTGTACAAGCAAGTTTTTGTTACTAAATATTCTGATCTTATATGCCTCCTTAATTTATCGTTAACAGGCCCGTTACCAGTATGCGGAAGATGTTCTCAAACAAAGGTAAAATTGTCGATAAGTTCATGGGGTATTCATCATTCCTTGTTTCTTTCTGCTCTCGCGGAACGATTAGTCCTTCAAGATAAATAGACTTGTTGTAAACTAGGGGCTTTAGAATGAAACAAAATTATCGCTACCGAGCTACATCAGTTCACGAAGAAATTGTCTGTCACTAACAAGTGCATATCATCGTCGGTAGATTTTAAAGTCCCCCGCCCCGCGCCTTTTATTGGCCCATCTACCTGTAAACAAAAAAAATACATCCTATTGAAAGCCCCCCTATAGCTTGTATCAAAATGAATTCGATTTATTATGACGTTTTGAAGCTTATTAATTAAATTCCATTAAGTGCAAAACGTATTTTGATCAGCACCGGTAAAGCTTGTTTCAAAGCCCTTTTGCCTTTTCGGTTATAAGCCCCCCTCAGAGATAACCCCTCCGGTTATAAGCCTTCCTCGGATATAAGCCCCCCTCGGATATAAGCCCCTCCTCCGTTTATAAGCCCCCGTCGGATATAAGCCCCTCCTCCGTTTATAAGCCCCCGTCGGATATAAGCCCCTCCGTTTATAAGCCCCGCTCGGATATAAGCCCCTCCGTTTATAAGCCCCCCTCGGATATAAGCCCCTCCGGTTATAAGCCCCCCTCGCATATAAGCCCCTCCGTTTATAAGCCGTCCTAAAACCCCTTAGTTACGAAGATGATTAAGACCAGGGCTTATAAGCGATAGTTTACGGTATCGATTGAAGGATCGTTGTATTGCCGCCGGTATTCAACTAAAATGCAGAGGCAAGGCAAATTAAAAATTAGGCAGGATGGAAAAACGGTAGTTGCAAGATGGCTTGCTCTAGCACTAAATTCGATCTCTGATAGACTTTTACAGGTTCAAGCATTCCGCGTGGGAAGTTGCTATAGTTGCTTAAAGTTTCATAATTGAAGTATTATTGTTAAGGCGGGCTCCTTCTTTGTTCTCGCAGGGAAAAGACGATTGCCGACCTGAGACAAGCAGTTGCAGAGAAGGAGGAATTACTAAATCGTTCAACAACTAAAGTTGGTTAACTCACTGACTGTCGAACTTCCTATAAATATCATAGCCTGGATATTTGTATAAATATAATACCATCGTCAGAGCCTCGAAAATTGGCGATAAAGTATTGGAAATATAGTCTCAACTGGATTTCGTTTTTCACACATTATTAAAAGAGCGATAGTTAAGCCCAATCTATTTTCCCTTCAGAGAGTTCCTTGCAATTCTGTTTTGAATTTTTATGAGTTAAATGGATGCCGCTTTTATTGCGTGCAACACAATTTCGTTTCGCTTCTCCATTTCCATGCTGCCAATTTATTATCGTAGGAAAAGATTATTACAGTAAAAACCCCCAACTAAGAACCTGGCTTTTAAGAACCTGTTAGGCTAAACTTTGCCATTTAGGCCCCCTCTTTACAAGAACCTGTTTAGCCTAAAAAAAATTTTTTTTCTAAAATTTATAACAAAAAATTCTGTATCCTTGTGCAAATAAGGAAAGTCAACATTGAGGATCCTCTTTGGGAGATATGTGTCTTATCTCTCCAACTGCAATACAGTGGCGTTCAGATAAAATATAAGGAATAAGCGAAATAGACTAAATAAACTGTTTAGGCCAACTTGGGAAAATGTAGGTTCTTAGTCCCGGGATTGTACTGTATGTCATTACGACTTACAAGCCATTTTTCTTGTCTTGTGCTTAGGTATAATCGAATATACGTGGGAAAGCAAGGTTGAAAATAGAAACAAAAATGCACTTTTGTTTTCTCCTTAGATAAGACAGTATGAAGAAAATAACAGATTCATAGCAAATGATAGAATTTATTTTTCAGAAAACAGAGGTAAGAAGCTGTTATTTATGACACTGTTTGCGTTTTATCGCAAAACATTTACCATATAGTGATGTTATTGTTGGTATTTGCCTTATCTGATTACTATATATTTCCCTTTATAAGACTCCCAAAAGGTGATTTCAAATTTAAAGATAAGAATTAAAGAACTGGAAGAGCAACTCCAAGAAAGAGAGGTAAAGTATCAGTTGACTCATCTAGGTTTTTGCACAATGTTTCTGGATTTGTTTGTTTTCTCTCCCTTCTTTCTTCTGCAGTGCGGATGGGACTTTTTTAAACTTTGCAAGGAATTGACCCTTCCACGGTTTTTTCAACTTTTGACATGGACCAGGTAGCGAAAATCCTTCGACACCACTGGAAAGGGTGTCTTAATATTAGTAAACTTGCCAAGTTTGAAAGTGATAGGTCTAAAGCGAGCCAAGATATAGCGAAAATTTACAGAAGATTATACCGGGTGGGGGAAAAGGGGGGGGGGGGGGGGGAAGGTTGAAACCCCACCCCAACAAAAGGTGTTTGAAATTATTTTGTGGATGTGTGAGATCTTTATTGTGTTTAGACGAGAGCGGAATGTTTTTTTGGATTGTTTGATCTTTCCTGTGGTAGAAAGATTGGAGGTTGGTGAGGTTAAATTGAAAACAGTAGTGCAGGTTGTGTTGGGGGGGGGGGGAGAAGGGGGGGGGGGGGGGGGGCAAGTTTGTAACCCCCGACCATACAAATGTCTGTAAAATTTCGCGACTCTTAGGAGCTATCTCTTATGTTACTTTTCAACCAATCACTTTCAAAATTGGCAATTTCACTAATCTGAAGACGCTCTTTCCAGCAGAGTCGACGGATTTTCCCTGACTTGCCGATGAAAAAAGTTGGAAAAAACGGTGGAAAGTCTATTCACCTGTTCTACTTAGCTGTCCTTGGCTATTTGAGTATAAGAGTCTGTCACGTACATCTTTACAGATATCTAAATGCTCAGTAATTATCGTAAACTTTATTAATTCCCTAACGCGGCACTGGTTCCTTTTTCTCTTGCTGTTAGATGCTTCAACTGGATGAGAATGAGGTTTGTCTCTTTAATTGTTCCATAATCCTCTCTATGATAATTATCCAGCAATTTACTCAGTAAGGTCATCGAATTGAGGTCAGTCTCCTGTAAATAGACCTTTCCACGTTTTCTTTTTAACTTTTGTCATGGACAAGTTAGGGAAAAACTGTCAACTCTGGAAAGAGCACCTTTAAGTAGCTGCAAGAAAGTTTGCCAAGTTTGAAAGTGATTTGTTGAAAACTAACGAAGATATCGCTTCTCAAAGTCGCGAAATTTTACTGACGTTTGTATGATGGGGCGCATAAATATGCAAACGTCTGTAAATTTCCGCAACTTTGCTGAGGTATATCTTCGCTCATGTAAGACGTATCACTTTCAAACTTGGCAAGTTTAGTTCAAGGCGCTCTTTGTAGTGGTGTCGACGGATTTACACTAACCTTTCCATGTTAGAAGTTGCCGAAAAAATCGATCGCGCAAGGGTCTATTTTTTACCCCTTCAAGCGTAGGCCGTTATCACGATGACACAGTTAAAGTGATTTGACATACATGCTGTGGTTTGTTTAATTTTATCCTTGGTTTAAAAATTATTTTCCTCTGAGTTTGGGTACGGTAAAACCGTAATACAGTGAAACCTCTATTAAGCGGACACCTTCAGGACCTTCCCAAGTGTCCGCTTAATAGAGGGTGTCCGTTTAATAGAGTTTGTAAAAATTGCGGAATGTTTGTGATAAAGTTCCAAAGAACTTTTAGGTGAACTTTGATGGCGGATGACAATCATACGGCCGGGTATCAGTCTAATCTACAGTTTATTGACAGCTAAATTTATTGATCTATCCTCATTAATCGACTACAGTTCGCATTTGAAGGACGTAATCCAATACTACTATTGTCAATTCAGTCCGGTGTCCGCTTAATTAGTGTCCGCGTCCGCTTAATAGAGGTGTCCACTGAATAGGGGTTAGTTATAAAGGGAAATATAAGACGTTAATTTCGGGATCCGGCTTAGTGTCCGCTTAATTGGCGGTCTGCTTAAAAGAGGTTTCACTGTATATGATTATGAGTTTGAAACAAAGGAAAAGGAAATTTAACCGAGGAAAAAATTGAACCACAACATACAAATTGCTAGATTTATACATGGAACTATGAGAAGAATGGGGATGAGTCTCGCTATGCTCTGCGGCTCCGCTGTTGCCAGCTACGCAGGCTAAGAATTTAGTGAATGTGTCACAAGACCAATCAATCAGTCAGTCAGTCAATCAATGAATCAGTCAAACAATCATTCAATCAACCAATCGCCCGGTTATTTTTTTAACTACAGGTTTCTCTTTTTACAGTGGCAGAGGATGAATTTGGTTTTATTAAAAAAGATTCGATAGAGTAAATTAGTTACCATATTTCGTTTCTCAACAGCTGCGTGACCTTAGAAAAGATAACAGTCGACTTGAAACAGATCTTGAGGACAAGGATAAGGTAACATGATTGCTCCAAGAGTCTGTTAGATTTCAAAATGTAATCTTTGAATTTCCTTTCAGTCTCTTTTTCAGCTTTTCAACTCTTCTCTATCATTTTTTTCTGTTGTTGCTAATATGCAGCCTGGGTAGAGACTGTGTCGTCTTAATAGGCCCTTAGCAGATTTCCATTCACGTGGTACAAAACCGCTATGTTGGGACGCAAAAGTCGCACTGAGACAAGACAAACAAAAGAAGTGACCATTTAAAATTATGTATACTTTTTGTTGGTCTTGCCCCAGTGCGACTTTTACGTCCCAACATGGTCTTTTTGTACGACGTGAATGGAAAGCTGCAAAGGGCCTATCCATGTTGAATTCCCTGTACGTTATGATATCTAGTCATGTTTCGTATATTTCTCCACAGAAAATAAAACTTCTTCAAGCTAAAATAATCGAATTGAAGAAGGCTTTTCAGCGGGAACTGGTAAGGGTTCGTTTGTTGTTATTAACATATTAAGGTTGTTTCTTGGCGTGTTTGCCGGCTTTTCACGTTTTGTCAAACCTGTGCCATGATAGAGATGTGAAGGTGAATTTTGAGCCTGGTGAATACACGAGAAAGACGATTTTTCAGTCAGTGACACAGGCGGCTCAGAAGAAAAAATTCGAGTTCTCGTAACAGGAGTCGAACGCATGACCTTCTGGTTACTAGTCTCTGTAGCTAGTCTAGTCTTCTGTAGCTCAGTGGTAGACGGCATGATGCCGCCCTACCACTGAGCTACAGAAGACTAGGACTGGTTTGATTCGTGGGTGGTAAAACGCGCGATATCGCTTTGCAACTAGTTTGGCGGCAATGTTGGAAACAAGTTGCACTTTTTGTTGCCCTTTTTACTTTAGCTTTAGACATCATGTATTCATCCAAATACTAGCATTTCCAAGTTCCTGTTTGATCGGGAATGGTAGACGGGGATTAATGTAGTGGATACACTTCTACTAAATGGTTGTTTATTTAATTTTTTTATTTGAAATCTCTTGATCCAAAACCAGTATTTCCAGATTCCAACTCCAGGGCTCGAAGTTAACTTTTTAGTGCACTTGCAAAGGTTTGCGAGTGAGATTTTTTTCCACTAGCAAGTTGGTGAGACCACAAGTAAATTCTTTCCCTTTGAATTCAACACGAATTATCAGTAAAATCAATATCTCGAAACCACCGGAAACTCATTTGCCGGTAAACGGACGAGGAAATAACTTACTGTTTCCTTCTTGCGTTCGAACATCTTTCTCCAAATGTTTGGGAGACATGGATGACTCCAACTGGCAAACGTTTACTAGTGGATATTTTTGTTACTCGCAGATTATCAAAATCACTCGCATTTTGCAAGTTTGCGAGCGTTAATTCGAGCCCTGAACTCGATCGGGAATGGTAGACGGGGATTCACGTAGTGGATGCGGTACCATTGACTAGTTATTTATTTCATATATTTATTTAAAACCTGTCAATCTTTTCCAGAAAATGACAGCCCCTGAGGGTGAGGGTACAGAGAGAAGAAGTCCTGGCACACCTAATGGTGACGTCACGGTCCATAGCGATGAAGAAAGAGAAAGATATGATTATCTCGAAACCAATTTTAAGTATCCTTTGATGTTGATTGTTATTTCAAGCATTTGGGTCACTTAAGTGTTACCTTGGTACATTGTACTGTTATAGCATAACATAGGGATCCAGGCATCATTGCCGGTGGGTGCTTTTTATTGGCGACATAATTAGTGCGCCAGAGGGGCTTCCTTTTAAAATGTCCCGTAAACCATACAGACAGTTCGGATTTGTTTTTTTTGTTGGGTGATCCGTCGGTTAAAAAGACTTTTTCCTCACGTAGTTAAGTATTCGATCAAGCTTCCAATTTTTTATCAATGATTGAACGAAAGAATCAATCAATCAATCAAATAAAAATGTTGGTAGACTTTTGTTAATGGATAACGCAATTGATAGATAATTGATGGATAAGACACTGACTAAACCAGTACGTTTTGCTCAGTTTGCTCACCTTAATTCACATGAAGATACTTAAAACATGTCGTTTTGAAGTATATGTGCAGCTCAAACAAGCAGGTAATCTTAGTTTTCTTCTGTGGAATTTTTAAGAAGTCCAGAATCTCTGTTCTGTTAATCGCAAATTGTAAGTATCTTACTATCCACTTTCTTCAACGCTTTCAAGAGATAAAATTTACAACACTGGCTGAGGGATTTTGCCGACTGCTTGTGATACAGTTTACAAGTAATGAACAGAAGTAATGAGGATAATGTGATTTTGAATTTGAGATAGACCACCACACTCTGCGAACAGTGTGTGCGTTTTTTAACGTTCGACAGAATTTACTTATACTATATGTGTAAGGGTTATGAGACGGAACCAAAGGTTTATCGTCATGTCCTGAAAGCCTAGAACGTACCGTCTGATCGTTTGCAGGTGTCATTACAAAGGCAGCACTTCTCCTCATTTATTAAGAGACCCTGAGTGTTGGTCCGGCCGGGGTTTGATCCAGCGGCCCTTTCCCGCTCGGCAGACCAGCGCTCATCCAATTGAAGTTCACTGGGCTGCCGCAGTCTGTAGGACAGCACTTTGTGGCGCCCTTAATTGGTGTTATATTACTCTGCTCAGTTTTATTCTTTCATTTCCAGTCTCGCCAGTTGATTAATGTGATTGGTCATTTACTGAGATTCACGCCCAAAGAGCTAACATGCGTCAATGAGGCAGTGGAGTGGAAAGTAAGTGTCAAAAGCGAGTTTTTTGGTCAGCTCAAAAGTACGCCTTGTTTTATTTACTTTAGTTGTTTATGATCGCATCTCAAAGCAGAAAGCAGGTTAGACTGACTAACAGACTAAACCTCCAAATGATTCGAAGTTTTCTCCGCCATTTTTTTTCATTTAAAGTGTGCGCAAGTCATTCGTGTGAGTACTGCTTTCCTCCTTGCACACTGTTTGAGTTTGTTTAGGATGACGGTGTTTTGTTAAATGCTATTGAAGCTCAGATATCATTGGTATTTTCTAAGATAAAGAAATCGCTCTAGTTTCTTTTGTTGGTTTATTTACTTGTTAAACAAAAGATAAAGGTGTAAAATTTCCTCTTCACCGCGCTGCATTAGTTTCTAAGCTATTTTGGCTTAGTAAAGGTACCGTAATCGTGTCTTGAAGATGTATGTGTTTCGACGTGTTCGCCGCTTTAGTCAAAGTTAGATGTAATCTATTACTATATGTTCTGATTGGTCAATTTGATTACGTACTCCTTACTTCCGGCTTCTTGCACGCTAGACTTTTTACCTGTGGACCTCACGAGTTCCTAAGCGAGTGAGCGAGGAGCGAGCGACGAATTCGCGAGAGGTCGCGCCGGACGAAGGTGCATCCACAGGAATCCCAATGTTTTTTAAACCGCACATATTGTTTTTATTATATAAACACGATTCTGCCTTCCGTCCACACGAAACCAGTGACTCCAATCATTCATCCGTCGCCTGTTCGTTTTTTTTTAATGTGGTTTCAAAAATGTCCGGATTTGTGTGGACGGGGCCTTTACCAGCCCATTTCTGTTGTCTTTTTAGCTACCACTTGATTAGATGTAGGAAAATAGCATTCTTCTCAGTGGTGAGTACAGGAAGAGTAGATCTCGATTATTGAAATAACAATGTTTTTTTGTTCCACAACATTTGTTTACTTAACATGGGTGGTGATGGTTTATGGTGTCTGGTTTAAATCCTTTTAAGCTCCAAAAGTGATACTGAGCATTTTAGTAATATTGGTTATTCAGAGGATAGGTCTCAAGAGTTAAAGCCAATTTTATTGTAACACAATAAATCATTTCCAAGTTATGCTTAAGTCCAGGCGTGGTGCGTAATGGAGAGATTTAGATTCACGTTTACGGCAAACGCGAGATTCAAGTGCGCAATTTCTCAAATTAAGAGATGAGCAGGTAAAAGCTGTCAAAAACAATCCTTATGGATGAGACTGACATAAAAATACTTATTTTTTGGTAGATAAAGTAAACAGTAGATGGCTAGTAAACTGAAACTTAGTCACGTGGTACAATTAGGCGTTTACGTGATTCTAAGGGCGCTTTCCATTTGTCAGAACTGACCCGCCAGATCATTCCCATCGTAATTAGAATTTCACTTTTAATTAAAACTATCCAACTACATCAGTCAAATTCTAAATAGTATTCACGAAGGAGATGGGTTTTCAGCAAAAACCCTTTGGAAAAAGCCGATTTCATTTGCTAACTGACTGGTCCGGCAATGGTCCGGCCGGCCAGTTCTGACAAATGGAAAGCGCCCTAAATCTCACTAATAATACCTGACGAATGAGTGAAGGACTGGTGAGAGGTCATACAACGGAGATTTGTTGTTGGCGTTGCTTTTCAATGTTTTATGTTTTCAAACTGCTTACCTGGAGTAAAGGAAAATGCACTGTTATAAAGCTCACTGCGAATTCCTCCTTTTGCAGATCCAACAGCATGCTGTGTTCCTTCTGCCGACCTTAATACATGGCTTGACGTTACTGACCTCAGATAAAGCCCTTTTTGATCGCATACAGTAAAAACCTGCATATAAGACCTACGTTTACCCAATTTAGCCTAAAAGTTTCTCTTATATTGGGCATCTACTGAGAAAGTAGGCTATTTAAGTTCCTAAATCTATTCTTACGTTAATGTTCTTACGTTAATAAGAGCCGAATGGCCTGTCCTCTAAATTAATATGGGTGCGGTTTCTTTCTTGATAATAATAAACTTGTTACACAGACTCCAAGCAAACAAACTCCCTTAAGGACCTTTGGATTTTTGTGTTGTTACTTTCTTTGTACCTGTTGTCGTCGTCGTTGTTGTTTCCCGTTATCTCAAATAAGAACCGGTGGTAGATTTTGGCCTCAACTGGTGAAATGCTTAAATCGTAGCCCAATACGTTATTAATCGTGAGGTTCTTATGTGCAGGTTTTAACTGTATTGTTAAACAGTCTCTTACTACAAAGGCAGCAGGTGGGCTCGATTACCAGCCGCTGTTCCGGAAAGGAACAAGTTTGGAACCTAAAGAGCGGCGGAAATCCAGCATGGGTAGCATGCTGATGATAGCACTCTATTTAATTCTAACAATTTAGAAAAAAAAATACATCAAAACAACAACAACAAAAACAAACAAACAAACAAACAAAAAACAAACTAGTATTGTATTCTTACACCTTTTAAAAGGGGTCGTGTTTCAGCTAATAACTTTGTTTTTGGCAACCCCAGCACACTCTCTTAATACGATGCAAAGAATCTCGGTCTGGTCATTCAAAACAAAGCACTTCGGCAGTTCTATTAAATTGGGCATACTTTTTAGCGCAATACTTTAAAATGAAATTGGAATTTTTGGTTTTTTTTTTGGGAATGTTAAGGATGACAGATTGTACAATTCAAACAATATTTTCATTAAGAGGTAAACAAATTTTCAATTGATAAGACAAGGTTAGGAGGTATTTTTAATATGGTGACGAGGAAGTCCTATCCTTGGAAACATCGAATTTATTCATAGGATTATTTAATATGACTGAATTTTCAAAGAAATATAATGCGGAGAGATGTAATATATCTTTTGTGACCAAGTAAATTAAAAAGCATTATATTGAAATCTGATGTAGTTAGTTATATCACCGAGTGTTCATTATCGTCATGACCTAATTTTACATATCGCGTGCCGCACATTGTATATACCGTAAAATTCCGAAAATAAGTCCCAGGACTTATATTTCCAAAGGCCCTTTTTGAGTGGCTTATTTTTGGAGGGGCTTATATTCGGAGGGGCTTATCTACGGGGGGAAATTTGCGTTTCAAAATTGATTGGGCTAGCCTTATATTTGGAAGGAAATTTACCGTTTTTGCTTTGTTTTACTTTGTATTTGAGGGCACTTTCCATGAACAAGCCCCCGGGGAGCTTATATTTGGAGGGGCGATTTAACGGAGGGTTTTTTGCGTTACGAGTTTGGCCGGGCTTAAGAAAATCGTTCGTTATAGTGAGGACTTCGTTTTATAGAGGTTCCACTGTAACACAAATGCAGGCTCCTCTCTCCGATATCCAGAATCTCCCCTCCCCTTCCCCGAGAGTCTGTACTGATGAAGTGCGATCAAGTCACCTGACTCGCAAATGAAAATAACTGTCCATCCCCCATAAAAGGAGCTCCGCTATAAGACTTTCTCGGAAATATTATTTGCCCGATAAGCAAGCATTAGGAAATGATAACCACAATGGTAAGAGACTTTTGAGCATACTAACTGGACAAGTGCAATTCTCCGTTTTGGCAATAATAGACTTATCACACGTCTAGGTATCACAATGGCGATGATATAAGGAGCAAATTGTATATACACTAAATGTGAAGCTCTAATGTGTGCTAATTTTTAGATCTGGAAAAGCCCCCAGGGCCAATAAGACAATAACTACAGTCCAATTAGCTAGGGCTGATTTGGTTGCAAGGGCTGAAATGGGCCCTAGCGTGGGCTGGAATAGCCATTTGATTGAGCTTTTTTGGCCTAAATTGTGTTCCAGTGGCTCCAGGAAGGGCTGAATCAGACTTTGGCCTGCAGGGCTAAATTGACGCTTTGGGGCTGAAACATCTTTTTAATTTTCAGTGTGGGCTTAGCACAATTTCAGTTTCCTTGACAATCAGTTTGACCTCATCGCCTGATGAAGACCCAGCATTAAACTGTTTAAACTTTGTAACCAATAACATCGAGTTGCCATTTTGGGAGAGAAACGATAAATGATCTTACCATCAGCAGGAAAGAGTATTGTTGATTTAGAATTCATGGCTTGGTAAATTTACAAATGAGAGGGCTGAGAGACGCGCCAATATTTCGGAAAATTATTTTGTTCTGCAATTACTGAACTTGAGGGGAAACCTAATCCTGAAATTAAAATCCATAGTTACAAAATTGCAGTTTACAGTTTTTTGTTAATGGTGTCAAACAACTGGCAAACAATAGCAAAATTGTTTCATACAAAAAAGGTTTGGGTTACATTTCCAACAGCTGATCCCCGTGGAAAAGCCTCCGCAGCCGATTATTCAATCAAGAAAATACAATAAATGTCCAGTTGGCTTGGACAACATGCAGGCTTTTCCTGATCATTTAAATGAAAAAAGCAATTAAGCAATTTAAGTCCGTCAATTTTCAAAAACCAATTTGTTTTGCAGCCAGATGAATAGACTGAATTCGCAACGCTTAATTTAAAAGTTGAACAAACTAAAATTGATTAGAAATGGCCGAGTTTTCAACAAACAGTAAAATAGATGGCCTATCAAAAGGGTCGATTTGTTCAGCTAGTGTCGATTTAATCCAGAACACAGAACACGTAATCACCTCATACATCAGCCATAGAGGTTTACAATAAAACAGATATTGTCGTCAGCGACCTTTACAAAATTAAAATGAACGTGAAACCGCCTGTAGAAGTGAAGTGAGCGGCAGCTTTGAGAACGAAGCAACAGAACGGTGTTGACTAGTTTCTGTTGGCCTAATTTCGCAACCACTTTTCGTTATCCATGTTGTGTCAGTCATCAACAAACGGTGGAAAATTTGTTTTATCAGTGAGCGTTCTGCCTATATAACTAGTGCAGCGTTATGTGGCGTATCCGTGTTAACCCTGACTGCGATCAGCGTCGACAGACTTCTGGCATTACAGTTGAAGATTCGTTACAGAGAACTTGTAACAGTTCAACGGATGTGGATTGTTATAATCATAATATGGATTGTAAGCTTTGCGAATGCCTTCTTGTACCTGTGGAACCCGTTTATTTACTTAATTGGCTGCTGTATTGTAATAGTAGTGGCAGTCTCCAGTTCTACTCTCAGTTACTCAAAAATATACTTTAAGCTCCGTTATCAAATGTTGCAAGTTCACGATCGTTTTGACACATGTAACCAAGTGAGTTCCGGGATGTTCAACATTGAAAAGTACAAGAAGACCGTGTATAGTGCCCTTTGGGTTCACTTGGCTTTAGTGGTATGCAACGGGCCGTTTGTTATTGTGACAGTTGTAAAAACTATTCGTGGGATAAGTCCTACACTTTTTGTAGCAGAAGCTTTCGCAGCTACATTGGTTTATCTTAATTCATCTCTGAATCCTGTCCTTTACTGTTGGAAGATCAAAGAAGTAAGAATGGCAGTCAAAGATACTCTAGTAAGCCTTTGTCGTCGTTTAGCTCCTGCAGATAAGAATTAACTTAGTTTTGCCACGTACAAGGCCGACTAATTCACCGATTAATTTAAATTTCTTTCTATATTTTTTTCATCACTATTCCTGCCGTAAGGATCAGTTTACTGTTTTAATTTTTAAATTTGGTACTCAAGATTTTACTGATCCATGCAGGTCTACTAAATATCCGGCTGACCCTCATTGGTTTGTCGCTGTGGTTTTGCCTTCACAAGTATGTCTAAGAAGGACAGGAAAGCGGCGTTTGGTGTCCATTAAACATCAATAAATGAGTAGTCCCCTTATGCGAACCAATGAAAAACAACCTGAAGGAAGGTAGGCACAGACTCTGGGGGTCCATTTTAGGGAGGTTTCCGTAAAAAAAAGCTTAGCGGTACATCCAACCAAAAATTACTTTACTTAATTGTCAATGTATTTAGCCGCCACAAGAACTAAACTAGCCCACACTGTTTAACGTTTCCTACAGAGGACTGGCTAGACACCGAATGCAGCCCCCTCTCGTCACTTCTCACCGCTAGCTGGGGACGTTTCTCTCCCGAACTACCGGCTAGTACTAACTCGACGAGGAGCGATGGGACGCTTCTGCAGTCTCGCAGGTAAAGAGAAAAAGGGGACTGTCATTTCTACGGGGGTAATATACTGCCACGCAAAGGTCTGACAAATTTCAGTGTAAAGGAAGTACCTTCTTTTTATTCCAAGACCCTGAGTATGGGTCCAGCCCAGTCCAGCGAACCCGCGAATCCAAGCTCCACATTTCAAGTGCCCTGCCAACTGACTTAATCCTGCAGCATAAAATATTAAGGATGCTTTTTTAGATCAGATCCAGCATTTGATTTTAAAGTCTGCAGTTTTTTTAAATCTGCTAATCGAACAAGCAGTTCTTTGGATTTGTTCATTTTAAAACTTGTACCTTTTATTGTAGTTTTAAACGGTTTTTTAACTTAGTACATGTTTTGTTTTTCCTTTAGTACTTCTTATTACTTATAACTTTTTATTGTAGTTTTTAAAGGCTTTTAACCAAGTGCATGTTGTCTTTTCTTATATATTTTTGTTTATTCTTACTTATTAGATTTTAATGTTTTTAGTCAGCAAGATCCCGTTGATAACAGTACTTGGTACTGAAGGTATCCTGGATAAATATTCGATTATTATTATTATCATTATTATTATTATTATTACGTCCTAACACAGTGGTGTGGCGGAATTCATCCTTGGATTCAAGCTATGTTCACTGACTATCCGGCCGGTATAGTGTGGGCACCTATCAGACATGTGACTCTCCACTTTAGAGATCGGCGCAGCGAAGCCTCGCTCCGTTACAGAAATCGCGCCGTAATTACCGTTCCAGTATGTGTCAACAAAAGCCCTATCCCGGCGGTATCGTTTTAGCGCCGGCGCAAAAGTTATCCGTCATCGGTGTCAACAGTTTTTAATTGGAAATCCGTAATACCGTGCGGAAAGAAATTTTTGCGAGAGGTTACCTTTGCGGATTGGCGATTTTTTGTGTTTTGCAGGAACTAATTCAGTTTGCGATTAGGGCATATTGGTTTTTCTTGCTGGGAATAAACTTTTACGATTTTCGTAGAGTACCCAGTACCCAGTATTGATAATATTTTCCTTTTTATTGAGTACGTGCAATAGAAATACATATTTTCAAACAATACTGTGGTGTGCGTTAGTATTTCATTGTATGCCGCTATGTTTCTGAACGAAAGAGACATACTGTATTGTGTGGTGAATTAAGGTTAGAGAATATTTTCTCCGGAGTAAATCCAGTTGAGGTAATTTTTATTCGCGGGAACTTATTTTTGCGGATCGCTGGAAAAATCCCAAAAATCGCAAAACTTAGAACCCGCAAAAAATTCGTGCCACACGGTAGCATGATTTCGAATTTCTCAATCAAACACCCATGCCGATAGAAACGATATTTAAGTTCAGTTTAATTAAATTTTTTAAGTTATCTTTTCTCATTGAAGTATTAAGAAGTTCATAATAAAATTTATAACAGGTTCAGTAGCATACGCCATGGCATGCTTTGGTAGAAAAGTATCACATCAATATAAATTCCATGGGATCGAAAGTTTCCCAAATCACCGAATGGAACTAAATATGCGGTATACGATAGCAGCAATGCCTGATTGCTCGCTTTTCGCCCGCAACCTCGCCACTCATGGCATTGTTCCTGCTACCGCAAAGTTTATTATGATTTGCTAACCTAAACTGTTTACTTACATCCTAGGTGGCAGGCACGTTTTAATATCACGTTGCTTAACAAATCGTGAGTTCTAGATTCGTCTTTACTTTAACACTGATACCAGCGACCTACCGAAAGTTGAACGAAATTCATTAAACAAAGCCCCAGGCAATAAGAACTGATTACAAGTACGTAAATAGAATTCGTTAAGTTTCGAACCTTTGTTTTGAGAACAAATTTATATCGGTGAATAAACTTTCGAAAGCAGTTGATAAGCCGTCAGGGGAAAGGCAAACTCCCAAACTAAAGTTCAGATGAAACGCACGTTTGGACGTCCATGTATCTAATGAACAAATTGTTCAGAAGGCCGCAGAACTCGTTGATAGGTAAGCTGGAAAACATAAGGGCCAATTTAATTAAAATTAGCTTTTGTATATAAAATGTGGTTTCAGTCTTGGACTAACAGTTTGAACATGACTCGGATTAGACGGTTACTCGTGTCACGAGTAAGAGCTGATGCAGCTATTAAGTATTGCGAGAAATAATTATTTTGCTTTCTTTGGCTCTCCCATATGAATCTCGGAAACTGAATTGATAAACGTGGCCAAATATTAGACGACAACACAAAAAGTAGACAACTCAGAGAATCAATGGGCCTTGACAGTACGTACAATGCAGACACAGAGGTTTACATCGTTTCCCTGTGTTCCCGAGTGAATCTGACTTCTTGTGCCGTTTAACCAACTAAAAGTTAAAATGTTCTTTAGTATTGGCTACTCTACCTTAAACGTGTCTATAACGTCTACAATTTTACGCCTCAAGTTTGTTTTCGAAGAAATCCAACGGTTGTAAAAAATCTAAAATGTGTTTTGGAATCAATTGAATTCCGAACGTAATGATCCAGTTTTGTTATTCAAGACTATATACCTTATTCTCCTTAATTTTCGCGGATTCTTAAATTCGCGATTTTCGCGATTTTAAAAAATTCGGGAACTTAATAAAGACCCGCAAAGAATAACGACCGCGAACTTTGATTTCGCGAAATTTAATGGACATAGAAAAATCATATATTTGTGTTTTCAAGGGTCCTTAACAATTTTTAACACAAGGTGTTAGTACAAGGAGCTATCATCTATCAACTTAATCAGTGTCAAGATTCGCCTCAAGTTCTTCTTCGGCATCTGAGTAATCATCTTCGCACAGTTCCTCCAATACATCCTTTGTACAGTCGTCAAATTGACCATCCTGTCCCGGCTCCTTGTAGTGTGTAGTTACGAGTGTCTTGTATCTTTCCATGCATTATTGCCCCGTTCCATGGTGTATCGTCCATTTCACATATCACCTCACATATCACCTCAACACATCGCTAAAGGGTGGGGAAAGGCTGGCCCGCCCAACTTTTAGATGAATCGTTTAGTCTTCCCCCTGAGGATCCATTTGAAGAGATTGAAGGTTCTATTGAGATCCCCTAGAAAGGACACGTAACGATACTCTCGATACTCGATAATGACTCGGAAGAACAAGATACTGTAAGACTGACTTTTAGAGGAATACAGCCTCCTCTAAGGGACAGCATATTGGTTTTGTTTCAATTGTTGATTATCGTAAAATTTTTGTCAAAAAAAGAAAAAATACAGTCATTTTCGTCAATTTCGCGAAATTAAATCCCCTGCAAACACAATTTTTCTCGAAGATCGCGAAATTAAAGACTCGCGAAATGTGCCGAGAAAATTTTCGCGAAATTTAAGGTCCCGCGAAAATAAAGGAGAATAAGGTATCAGAGGCATTGAAACTGTTTCCTGCCGTCTGTTACTCCTGTTGGTACAGGTGGAGATGGATTGAAAATTGAGAAACTTGAACCAACTTTTTCAAGTTTTACTGCTATGCCTGCAAAAATTAGGGGGAAAAAAATGTATCATGGTCAGTCATCCCTGATGAAATTTGTTGATATCTTCTTTGTACGAGTACAGGAACATTTTATGTATGATCAGGTTATAGGCACTAAGCAATAACTTTAGCAAAGAACTGACCTAAAACAGCTCCTATAAGACGATGAGGGCAGAATAAGGAATTCTGACGTTACAACTTCTTCTCACTAGCATTTTCTTTTCTATTTCCTTTCTTTCTTCCTTTTTTTTTTTTGCAGCCGAAATATGTAATTTTCTAACGTAATATATATCGAAAGAAGGCCTGATTGGTTGGCAGTATTCTGGAGATAAACTTTGAAAATTGAATTTACCCTGAAAATAGCTTGTGCAGAGGCTGTATCGCGGGTTTTTTATGGTCTCGAAATCCTGACAGGCATATGAAAAATGATTTGTAAGATATTCCATGCATTTTTGCTCGAGAACATTATCAAGCCTGTATACCTTTATTGATTAAGCGGTCACTGCGTTCACTTGCCAAAGTCTTGGAATCATGGCGCTCCTTTTTGCTGCAAAACTGACCAGTCTCGATCACTTTTTACTAGGAGCCTATATCTAGAGAACTTAGGTAAGGAATGTTTCTCAGCCGCGCGACGAACGACCGAAATCACTCGAGCGAGTGTGATTCCACTGAGCATGTCATTACGTTGGCGAGGTCAGAAAGCTCGACATGAGGTTGAACGTGAGGTACGACAATACGAGTCTTTAAAGACTCGGGTTTTTCATTTAAAAGATTTTTAGGGGTTTCATAGATAAAAGACAAATTGTGCCACGCTTTTTCTTCATAAATATACATTGAATTTACGGTAAATATATACCATAAAAATAATAATAGATAGAGCCTT